CACAGCCTATAATAATAATAATTCCTCACACTTATATAGCGCTGTTCTGGACACTCCACTCAAAGCGCTTTACAGGTAATGGGGATCCCCTCCACCACCACCAATGTTATAGCCTATAATTACCAGAGCCTGAATTGGTACCGATGATCTTCAGTTTTCAAAAGCTCCTCCCACACAGCGGTGGTAAATTAGCACAGCATGGTCCGGACCAGGTCCAGACAATAAAAAAAAAGTAATGAACAGCACAGACCATTGGAGACATTTATTAAGCTGTGTGGGACTTGAACCCATTCCCAAACAGCAAACTTTGTCATGAGGATTTATTAGCAGTGCGGTGGAGGGTGGGTGAATGTAGAACTGGCATCTCCTCTAATTCCCTGAGTAAAACCTTAACAAGCTAATGAGATCAACTACACAATGACAAGAGTGACTTCATGCTCCGTGTGTGTACTAGGGGTGGATGCTCGGAGATTATGTGCAGCCACACCATTTAAGCCAAGCTGCCTGCATGGTACCTTATTTTGTCTTGCTTTTCTTTGCGTCTTTTGATCTCTGTTGAGTTATTTTGCATTCCATGGAGAGCTCTTAATGTTCCTTGGCCTGTTTGATTAATTGTTCGCTTGCTTGCCTGGGTGATTTACAAAGTATAGACAGTTTCCCCTATGTGCTAAGGAGAGAACGGATTGGCTTAGCTGTTATTCCCAGTGCTGCTGCAAACTAGCACTAAAATGAACTCTGATCACTTTCAAATCTTGATTTACCTACATCAGAGATCAATAGCCAAGGTCTCAGAAAGACACAGTCCAGATTTGTAAAGGAAGCCTTCAACGTCTATGCACAGAGACCTGCAATGCTCTAAACAAAGCAAAAACGTGAACCAAAAAAGTCATTTAAAGCTCAATTAAGATTAAAACCATTCAACACTGTGGCTTTCAAGAACTTAGGCTGCAGTAATTTAGATCAATAAAGGCCTCATCCTACAATTTGCCAATATCTGGTGCATTATTTAGGCATGCTTATAGTAATTTTAGAAGACACACTTCTACTTTATGTCCTTTTGAAGATGTCTGTGTAAACTGATAACAACCAATATCCAAGCACAACGCTTCTCTACCAGATCATACCAAATGAAATCTTTTACCTTTAAACAACTTCTTTTGACAACTTAAGAACTTCTGCCTTCACTATCACTAGGATACCTATGAAACATGTTCAGGAAATAACCTTTTCTTTTGAATTCCATAAGAAACAAAGCATATTGAAGAGTTTCTGATAACCTCTGACCCAGTTACTTTCCTTGTGCAGCAGCAGATCACCCTCAGCAAAAAAAAAGAACCTTCCTTAAATACAGATTTTCACGATTAACAAGTAAATGGAAAAATCTGATCTGACTTTGTCTCATTTTTTTTAAAATAACTGCAAACCTGGGACTTTCTCATGATATTGCAGTTGTGAACAAAGACCAAAGGGGTTCCTTCACCCAACTTATTGTATCCTTTAATCCAGCCACCCTTGCGTGCAACGCACTGTGATCCTCTGTCTAGACCGGCAATGGGCTAGGCTAAGGAAACTGCAATGTCATGATGACTGAATAGCAGAAACCAAAGGCCCCTGTCGAAGTCCTCAAATCTTCACCTGAGCCGCCATCTCTGCACGGTGTTTCCCAGCTGGCCACCTCGATTACAGCGGAAGGAGAGGCTTTGGCAGCAATCGGCCGTTCCCTCTAAATAGCTTCTCCTTGCCAGCCGCTGATTAGGCATCTGTCTACTGCGCCTGTTGCCCTTACCTCTCGCTGGCATCGTCGGGGGGCAGCGAAACCTGGGGTGTCTCGGGCAGCCGGGCACAGTCCCCACAGCTCTCATTGTGCCCAGACCCTGCAGGATGGCACCCCGCCTCCAGGATGGCACCGGGTAGGTGTGGTGAGGCGGGCTGCTGAGTTGGTGGCCGGCTTATGTGGCGGGGTGAGCTCGGCGAGCTGCAGATCCAGACGACGGCAGCAGTAGAGCGGACTTCTGAACCAAATAACAAGAAACAAACTTCCCTCCGGCGCTCGAGACCACCAGTCCTCCCTTTTCTCTCGCTTTCTCTCTCTCTGTCTTTGATCCAGCCTAAGCTGACAAGCTCTCCAGAGCAACAGGATTAACATGGCTTTGAATTAAAGAAGCAGAGCCCGCGTGACGTCAGCCTGCCTGGATCACGCCTACCCATGAGCTCCGCGGGTTCTGTCAGGCAAGACTGGAGTGTATACGCCTATATACTTGTATAGTTTCTAGTCATGCAAACATTGAAGGAGAAACAGAAGATAAAAAGTTGCTAATTCCTTCCTGCAGCATTGCTACCAGAGCTGTCACTCCCATCAAAGTGGATTTGGGACAATTCCGGGAATTAGCAGATGGATCAAGGGCACAAGCCAGTTTATTTATAGCATGCATGGGCTGTCTAACAAATGCAGGACTTTTTTTTCCTTAAATCTGCTCCACACTGGAGTGCATTTTAGATGGGTGCTCTGGATTGCGTCAAGAGCCATGAGTCCAGCCCCCCCTTTACCCCCTGCCACCCCAGAAGGACTGTCCTCTTTCCCTCTGTGCTTTCCTTGAAAGCCAACCTCTTGCTAGCTCCATATATTTCTCCTGGGAAAACAGGGGAAGATGTAAACTGTTGAACGAGTGTTCCCCATCAGATCAATGGAATTCTATCCCAGAAATCAGTAGTATAAGCTGAACAGTAGTGTGTTGTTAGTCACATTTAAACAAAGGACCTGGTAGGTTCCCCCATACATACTGGTAGGTTCCCCCATACATACAGAAACAGCTTTCTGCATCCAGAATATAGAAAGAATAGTTCTCTGCAGGCACAGCCCTGTCCCTACATTGTACTCAGCCAGGAGCAGACCGCAGAGCTACTGTCAGTCAGTGCTGGCCTCTGGATGGTTCATTGCTGGCAGAGGCGAAGACAGATGTGAGAAATATCCATAAATGAGTGCTGCGGCGTGACGCTGATATGCATCATGCTTCTGAATTTTAGATTTTGCAGGGGGTATTAAATCAATTCAAGAATGTGAGATAAAATATGTATTCACTTTTTCTAAACATGAACATTTAAACACCTAAAAGTGGAGCAACAAAAATCCAAACTAACACACACTAGAGGGCACCAGAGTCTTTTCAGTAGAGTAGTCTCTACAAAAGATAGAACTCTGGATAAGTGGCCCCCACAGCCACAAGAAGGTTCGACCAAAACAGAAAAACTGAAGCCATCAAATCAAGAGGACTCACATTTTTGCCATATATTTCTCCCCTTAATATCAACATCTATTTTGAACAGAATTCATGATGTACGTAAGTGTATTGGGTACTATTTTAAATTTCTGTCACTCTATTATGTTCTCTTTTTACATTATGCACTACAGGGGCTTTATCATATCTGTCTTATACCCTAGCTGCAGAAGCTGGTCCTATGAGGACAGACATTTATCACTACAGAACTTGGTCTGCACCACATGCTGGATTACAGAGATGGCTTCTGAAGATGGTTAGGGGCACAGCAGTGCCAGGCAGTGAGGGCAGCAGTCATCAGTCCATTTTCAGTGTAAGTCCGTTACTCAGCCGTTTCCAGGAGCCAGCAGGAGTGTATTACTATAGATCACAGCTGAGACAAGAGACAGCTGGAACAGTGGTGTCAGCCATCAAAAGTGAACAGTGATGTCAGTTGTTTGCTCTGAAAGAAGAACTGAGGACATGCACACAACATGTACTGATCTATGTGAGGACATAACAATCTGTCTCCGTACTCAACTGCCCTGGATCATCTTTATCCCAAGAGTATAGGTGACCCAGCCTGAGTACATGAGTGAGCAGACAATGTTAAAAGGAGAAATGCTGTACGACTTTTCAGTGAACTTTATGGCTACTCCTGTTACCCTGACACAGAAGAAAAATATCAATAATCAGGTAACCAGAGCTTAAACTCTCATTCAAGGTAAAGTGTCTGTTAAAGGTCTTGCTTTTTTACTGAGCCCTTCAAGATGTACGAAAGTATACATTTTGCAGAGTTGATCGAACACTAAGTTGGCTTGGCTGTTCCTAATTAGCAGGCACAAAAGTAGCAAAAAAAACTGCAAAATTTGAATAATGACGAGTCAAGAACAACTCACACAACACAATGGATCTGACAGTGCTAGTGATAGACTTGTCCACCTGAAATTCTACTTTTAACAATACTACGATCAATCATGTTATTATTTATTAGAATTACAAAATGAAATACTTCAATTTGATTTACAGTTTAGCTGAGCAAGAGCACCAAGTCTGCAAGAACTTCTCTTGAGCTGAACTGTTGAAAACTGAACTGTTGTTGGGGGAAATCACTGTGGTTAATCTAAGGGAGCAATTGGACCTGGGGATGCTTTTGCTGACTCTGTGGTTACTGACTTTGTGCCAAAATTGCCCCAACCCAGGTTTAAACACATTGCCAGACCCAGCCAGAGAGTCAAACTACGGAGAGGCAGTGCATTTTATACATCAGAGTGCAGCCTATTTTTAGCCAGACTGCTAAGAGTTAACCTCACTGGTATTCAGAACTGGCACCAACACGCCAGTGCTTCCTTTTTAAAACATTCCTACATCAGCTGTTCAGCCTGGGAAGAATAAAACTGACCAAGGCAGAGAGAGGGGGTGAGGGGAGGAAAGCGAGCAGACGGTTTGCCCATCAGAGGTGGTCTCCTCTAACATGACCAAAGGTACACAGTACAGGTGGAAAAAGACATTCTTCAGCCTGGAAGATAACTCCGTCTTTCCTGCTCCCACCTTCAGACTTCAGAATTGCTGTTCAAATATGAGTCACTTATGTTCTCTTCAAGGACACTGAGGCCACAGAGAAAAGACACTGACATATTGTAAAAAAGGTGTGCTCTACAGGCCTGAAGTCCATGCACGCGTCAGAACTGGAGGCACGTCTTTACACAAATAGGGACTGTAGGACTTATGGGGCATGAAATGGCATTGATGACATTTCCTTAATACTTTCAGCATTTCCAGGTTCAACAAGCTACCAGGAGAACAGATAATCAGGTTTAGGTTAAAACCCTTTGGGCTATAAAATGACCATAGCACCCTAACACATTCTTTAATACTTCAGTCCTGGTCACACATGATCAAATTAATCAATGGTATATTTTCTATCTTGAATTTTGTAAATGGGTGAACTGAGACGGGGCGATACACTATCAGAGACCAAAATATCGGAGGATATGAAGACGCAGATGTTTTGATTGACGAAAGAAGGAATTTGGAGAGTGATGAACGCTGGTGATTTTGGGACTGAAACACATCTGTGCAGTGGAGGTGAGGAGCTGCAGATTACAGCAACAGAGGAGAGGGGGGAAAAGACGGAGAGAGGAGAGAGAGAAAGAGGGAGGGAAAGAAAGAGGGAGGCCACCACACTGTGGAATATTTATAAACAGCAGACAAGGAGGAGGGGTTGGGGGCGAGTCCATTGGAAAAGGAAAAAGAGGGAAGGGAAAATGTTGGGAGGGGAAGAAGTAAGAGAGAGGGCTAGGGAGAGAACAGGTCAGCAATGCAAGGCACCAAACATCAACGGACTCCGAACCGCAAACAAACAGAGAGAAAGAGCGTGGGTCACAACAGAGCTGAAGAGAGTCTGGAGCTGCTGGACGAGTGCGAGACAGAAGCATACAGAGGGGCTGGAGAGACAGGAGCTTGAATACAACACAGATACTCAGGGAGTGGGGAACAGATAGTGGGGGAAATTAGAAAAAGAAGTCTGTATAGAGAGAAATACAGAGACTCACAAAACAGAGGAACAGCAAGAAAAAAGGAGAAACAGGGGAGAAAAAAGAGAAGGCCACAGAGTGCAAAACAGGGTAGGTCTGCGCGTTGAAGTGAGAGGATAGTTGGAGAAAACGAACAGTGCGGAACAGGAAAAAAGTGTGTGAGAGAGGGAGAAGGGATGAGAGAGTAAGGGAGCAGGGGGCAGGACAGGAAGAAAACAGCCAGAGAAAAAGAGGGAGTCTGTGAACCAAAAAAATGCTGATTTAACAGGGGCCGGAGACAAAGCCTGCAGGATGAGAGGAAGCATTGAGGGAGAGACAGATCCAGGCAGCCACCGCTCTGCGGTCACCAGCAAGCAATAAAAATCACAGAATGGACTGAGACAGCGAGTGCTGGAGAGAGAGCGGCACACCAAAAAAGGGCTAAAGCCTGCCTTCAGAGCGAGGAAGGCTCGACCGGGGCTCCGCAGTGTGTGGGGGGGCCCGAGGTGATAGAAAACAAGGAAAAAAAGAGGGGAAAAAGAGGCACCCGTGGCAGAGAGGAGGGTAAGGGTGTGAGAAAGGTCAGGGCCGCGGTGGGGTGGCCCAGTCCCCACGGCGTTCTCTGGCTGGACGGGGAAGGCCGCTGCCACATCCAAAACCATGGGACGCCCCAGCCACTGAACCCAGAAACATGTCTGGGGGATCCTGCCCCCGAGAGGGGGTGCTGCAAAGCCCTGGCCCCGTGGGGCTGCAGACACTTCTGGACCTACTGGTGGGGGTCTACGAGGAATTTCGGGTGTCCCCCCTGGCTGGGGAGAAGTACGTCGCGGGATTCCTGCAATGGGGTCAGTACCTGTGTTCCATCTCTAACTTGCATGCCTGTTAAAGCCCGTGCTCGCCTGCCCACGGCCCCGGAGTGGGTCCCCTGGTTTCTGTGCAGTAGATGGGAAGGGGTTTCCGCAAACAGACGAGCTCCGGGGAAGCAAGCAGAGCAAGGTCATGAAAGCCAACACCGGGCCCCAGCCATGTGAGTGCCGTTGCGGTATTTTTGTCAGTTACAGTATGTTAATCCAGGAGCATGTTTCATTCTTTACGGATTAAAGGGCACTAGAAGGATACCTTATTGCAATACACTGCGCCCGTCCCTTCTGAAAACATCTTAGTGGTGCAGCTCTCATTCAATGACCAATTCATTACTTTTTCATCGTTGTCGTATTCTTGTCAACTCACCAAACCATATTTCCCACAGAAGAGCTGGGGTGTCAGAGAACGTTGATAGCTGTTGTGAGGAAATAGAGGGTGATCTACATCATTGGGCGATTAATAATAATAATTAATTAGAATTAGTTGCACTTATGTGGTGCATTTCAGTCCAAAGGATCCCAAAGCTCCTGACATATAAGGAGAGAATACATTATATCCACCACTGAAGCGCAGCACTCACCCGGGTCATGTTAATGTTATTATGCACCAGCAGGACCGCTTCAAGCTGAATTAAAGAGGGCTGCCCCTTGAATTGAGAGGGACGTTCACAGAGGCCACATTGTATAACACCAGAATAGAATTTAGCCAGGCCCACAGTTAACACCTCTTGTGTTACAAACAGTTCCATGAGATCTTTAATCAAGGAGTCAGGACCTCATTTTACAGATCTGGAAATTATGGATGAGAGTGTCATAAGAAAAAGTTTCTTAGACACTTTGAAGGAGAGACTTAGTAGCTTGCTTTTAGAATGTTAACAATTCTATACCTTGTAGAAAACAAATCTGCACATTTTTTAAAAGAAAGGTTAACTTGTTCAATGCAGTCCGCACACAGCTTGTGCCTATATTTTTCTGCACTTTTTTATAGCTACACAAAATCCCACACAATGTAGCATTTAAAGGAGAAGCAGCACGCTTCACATTTTCTATCAAAAGTTTTTAAACTAGAGAGCCTCTCCGCAGCTTCAGAACCTTAGCACAGGACAGAGGAGAGATGCAGCTTTCTCTCATAATACTTATAAATCACAGGTGTGGCTGCAGAGGCAGTGAAATCACTGTTCTGAAACAGGATGAGGAAAACCTGATCAGTTCAGCACTGGCGCTTGGTGACTGAAATTCCAGTCACAGCTGAATGCCGACACAGCCCAGATGTAGACCAGCAATATCCAAACAATAGGGCTCAATCAAGTGCCTCTGTGGTTTGAGCCTTCAGAGCAGGAGCCAGACATGTGAAAGCCACAACCTAACCATCTCTAACCACTCAAACAGAGATTGCTGAACAGAGGCAGATTTTCAAAGGAGACCGGATATGAAAAAACAGAAGAGCTGTGGTTGGCGATGTGTATGTTATTAAGTGCAGCCACAGAAGTCATGGTTAGAGGGTCAGCGTAACAGGCAGTCTTTCTGTATTAAGTAAGACCTTCTGCAGCTCAAGAGGAGAGAACTGTTGAGACAGAGGTTTCCCCAGAGGGTAGCTCCAGGCTCTGGCACCTATACTGGACATGTTTTGAACACAGTATGGGAGTCCATCATGTTTCCATCCTAATATCAAGGATGAGGCAACAGCTCTCCCATTACCTCAAGCCATACTTGATGATACTGGAGATTGCTGGTTTGAATCTGTGCTGCCAGGGTGACAGAATTTGTCCAGTGCTGATGGGAGGGGTGCTGGATTTGTTATGATGAGGCCTTCTAGGCAATCGGCTTCAACAATGTGGCTGGACAGCTTCTTCCTGTTCCCTACAGCCCTTTGTGTAAAGAAGAGATTCCCATTTAAGTTATCGGCTTACTGTTGCTCCTGATGTAGGGCTCTGGGCTGACTTTGGCAATGGTCATTCAAGATTTTACATACCTGCACAAAGTCCCTTCATAATCTCTTCTGTTTAAGATTTAATAATAATAATAATAATAATAATTGCTTACACTTATATAACGCTTTTTCTGGACACTCCACTCAAAGCGCTTTACAGGTAATGGGGGATCCCCTCCACCACCACCAATGTGCAGCTCCACCTGGGATGATGCGACGGCAGCCATAGTGCGCCAGAACGCTCACCACACATCAGCTATCAGTGGGGAGGAGAGCAGAGTAATGAAGCCAATTCATAGAGGGGGATAATTAGGAGGCCATGATTGGTAAGGGCCAATGGGAAATTTGGCCAGGACACCGGGGTAACACCCCTACTCTTTTCGAGAAACGCCCTGGGATTTTTAATGACCACAGAGAGTCAGGACCTCGGTTTTACGTCTCATCCGAAGGACGGCGCCTGTTTTACAGTATAGTGTCCCCGTCACTATACTGGGGCATTAGGACACATGTGGATCGCAGGGTGAGCGCCCCCCGCTGACCTCACTAACACCTCTTCCAGCAGCAACCTTAGTTTTTCCCAGGAGGTCTCCCATCCAGGTACTGACCAGGCTCACACCTGCTGAGCTTCAGTGGGCTGCCAGTTCTGAGTTGCAGGGTGATATGGCTGCTGGTTAACCATGCATAAATCATTTTTGTTCTGATATGGTATCACACGCATTACCATACCTTGTTTTCACTGTGCCATGATCTTTCTGTACCATGGTGGACTTTTTTAAGGGTTTCAGTAGCTTCAATTTCAAACGGGGGGCAAGGCTGCAGCAGGTATCAAATGTTTGGCTCCAACCTCTGTGTTTTGAAGAGGTTTATCTTTCTGCAGTTTGAACCCATCATCGCAAAGGGAGTCTGTGTCCTGTCACGAAGCAGGACACTCTTGAAAATTAAGCCCTCGTTTCCATTCCTCTCAGCTTCCCTTCACAGACCCTCACATGTAATTCCTAAAAGAGGTCTATGAGACTGCTCCCACAGGCTTCGGGGTTAAAGGATTCACTAATGGGCTGCAGGATATTGTCTCCGCCCTCTCCATTTTGTAATGATCAGCTTTGTATGAAGTCCTTCTACTCAAGATCAATCAAGCCTCTTCTACAGTACCCTGTATGTTGCATGGGAACTAAGTGTCACACGTAGTTTAAGTCTGCTTCTGCTGGTAAAACCACAAATGCAAATCTCAAAAGAAATGCCAACAGGGCCATTGTTAAAGTATACTGTGGTAGACCTGTGGACTACGTCTGTAGATTTCACCATTTTCTTTGCTCAAGCCACAGAATTATTTAACTTTGCATCTCAATGCTTTACTGTGATTTTGCTACATTGTTGTTAATGTTGTACATCAAAGTAGACTTTTATTTCGATTTTATAGCCAAGCACAGAAACACAGAAGCAGGCAAAATAAAAATGCCAACAAGGCACAGATCCTTTAGAAATGTCCAGGAGATGAAAAATGTCCCACTTTGAAACTGGTACGAGTAATGTGACTATTTAGGCAGGTACTTATACAGAACCCTCGCAGCCAGCGAGATAAGCAGGTAGTCTACAGACAAGCATGAATCGAACAGTGCCCAATTCCTGACAGTTGTGGTGCATATGCTCAAAAGAGTTAATGAATCCAGAGAAACAGCACCCAGGCAGTGCAGGGTTAGCTGAAGCTGTTTCTCTGTTAGGAAGCGTGTCAGGCTCCTCCGAGTCACATGCAGGCCATATGAGAACAATACCCCATTTTCCCAGCCAGAGACAGAGCAGGAGGGTATTTGCTTTACAATTAATGAGCAATGCTAAGTGCATAGACTCCCCGGGACCATCCACATACTGTAGTTACCTCCATAGACTGAATATACTCAAAAAAATAGTTCTCTAGTTTACCACCTTGCATGTTCTTTTAAAGGTTTCTCTTTGTATCATTAATATGCAATTATTTTAACTGGATGAGAATCTCTTTACTTCTGTTCTTCCTTAGACCTAGTTTGGGTCTGCTAGCCAGCAATCAGCCTCTCCCCCAGAATAAAATTCTCCTTTTCAAAATATTCAGGAAGGCACGCGTGTGTTAGTAATTCAACTACTTTACAAGATGGATTGGGAAAGAAGAGAAAAATCTCCCTGCCTGACTCAAAGATCTACCCAATTGCTGACACACAAGAGCCAAAAATATGTACAGAGCAGAAAGTGCTTTTTTTTAACAATGTCATTAGCAATAACAAAGCCCAAAAAATGTTTATAGCTCTTAAAGATTTCCCTACTTGTGTGCCTCCCTTTGTATGATCTCACTGAGAAAGGTTTCAGATTCTTGTATGTTTTATAAAGCTTTGTCTAAAGTGCTGGCAATGTATGGCCTTGTGAACCAAGTTTATGGTGTTATCCTTGTGAGGGTGCGTGTTATCTGTATGCATTTCTCAAACCAGGAGAGAACAGCAATAATAAACAAAAAAGTATGGGAATGTTATAGTACACTTTTTTGTTACATCATTTTGTGTTTCTGAAGAATAAGTTATTATTTTCTAAAGTGTGTAAAGATAGCCATTTCAAACACAGCAACTGTAATCAACTTTATGACACAATAGAAATACTTTACAGTTATGAATTCTCCCTGAATTAAAGTCATTTGGATTAGGATTTCAACTCAGGTCCTTATGAGAACTGTTCAATGGACTCTTGGTGGGGAACCTACAGTGACTCCATTGGATTATATATGACCAATCTTATAGACATTCCGTAAATTATATCGATATTTTTCATATGGGCTTTTAAATCAGGTTCATGTTTTTTGTTCAGGGGGATGTGTCCAAGCAGCATCAATTAGCGTTCTGTGAAGACCGGACACGTGGCGCACTTGTGCGTTTGACTTTTAGGCAGCAGACTGATTTCGAAGGGAAGTCTGGCAGCGTGCCCCTCCACCCTTTCTCCTTCCCTCCCACTCCCTCTCTCCTTCTCTCTCTGGACCCAGGCCTTACTTGGCCAGGCAGTTGCACGGGACGGCATGCTTCTCCTCCAGCCACTCTCCCCGAGCCGGGGTGGCAGTTTATAGAGGGAAGGAAGAGTCCCGCTAGTCCATAAAAGGGCCACCGCCTCAAAGGTTGACACAACGCACTCTTGTCTAGGTTCTGGCTTCTTGGCTCCAGCGGTAGCTGCCAGTGTAAACAAACACAGGATCCCAGAACAAGCAGCAGGCTTTTTTTCATTGAAAAGAAAATCTTACTAAACATCCTAAGTCCTTGTGTCTGAGTGGCTTGACAAACTAAGAAGACTTGTAAAACAAACAGCCGTGGTGTGCTCTGTGCCTAGCATACTGCATGCTGTAAACAGTAAACTCCAGACGGCAAATACAGGAAGAGGAAAAGCAGCATGAGATACAAAACAAGCTAACTCTTTCCTTCCAGTGACCATGTGGTCTTTTTAGCTTCCTTATCCCTTACCTGTCCCTTAGCTTCAGACTCACTATGAAGGGCTTCCATGCAATTCCTGATAAAGGATTTATATAGTGGAACAACACCAGCATGCGCTGGATGCTAAGTTCACAGGCAGCAGCCTTGTAGCTCAAGGGTAAGCATCCTATTACTTGCACAATCTGTGAAATCACTAACCACATTTGAGTCATAACTCTAAACTGGGGCCCATTTAATAAAGATGCTTGCTTAATCCCGAGTGGCTGACCCAGCAAAGCTTCTGCTTGGATGGCATCTTGAGCCCAAGGAATCCCATCATCACCATTTCAAACATGAGCAATGTCATTAGCCGCCAAGGGTGTGTTGAGGTTGGGTGGGCTTAGACTGGGCTGGGGTTCCCTCAGCTTCCTCTCGGTGCAGCCTGACTGCAGGCTGCCAGGATCTGCGGGATGCCTATGAGCTTGAGGAGATGTCAGAAAGAAAGATCTCACTCTTCAAGGCTGTGCCAACTTTCCAACAAGACGGTGTGGAGCTTGCACTTGTGCCCTATTGTAAATGGCTTTTGAGCATATACTGTACCAGCCAGCATTGCGCATGTACTCAAAAAAAAGTTTTCCTGGCTCAGGATGTAGTTCTAGAGTGTAGTGGCGCTGCTTTGATTGAGACAGCGTAGCAGTCTGGCTTTACATGTGCATGGCCATGGGATGCAGTTTATAAATCACAGGTTGTGATACTGTTTCCCCAGTAAGCAATCAAGCCTATGGGTGGTTCAGAGCAGAAACTCAAAATGTTGACTATTATGCCTACATCATTCATATTATATGATATTGCAATATATTAATATTATAATGACAGGTGTATTTATGCAGTGGTGTTGTATGATCTACAAATGTACAGAATAGCGAACGACAAGCTCTGCATAAGCAAATAAAGACAGCTTCTCTTTATAAAACCCATATCAGCCCACTTAACACTAAAACTAGTCTAATCGGCAATAATGCAAAAAGTCTACCCTACAGATTGTCTGGAAACACTTTTCCCTCCAATAAATGATGGGTACTGTTAAAAACGCTGAGACTGAAAACGAAATAGGGACAGAATGGAATCTCACTGAAGTGTTATATGGTGGCTTAAACTGTGTTTAAAGGAGAAAATATTTGTAAATCATTTTACAGCTGTATATAGCCCTTATAGGGTCAACCAAGTCCTGGCCCAGCATGGTTAGACTTCCCGGGGATGAAGGGGTCCATGTTTTTTGGGGCAGTTCCTATTTCCAAAGTCTTCTTCTGGGTTGCATCTAAAAGGCTCTTTGTGATAGCTGCGACAGCTCCCTGGATATATTCCCTCCAGCACAGAGGGCACTACACTGCTCTGTGTGTGCGGTTCTACTTCTCAGATATTTCCATTTATGATGCTGGCAGGGTGCCTGGCGTTTTGCCATAGAAACGGTGGATACTGTAAACAGTGTGGGCGAGGCTCACAGCAGACTGTTCTGCCTCCCCCCCTCTGGAGGAAAAATAAGTTTCCAGAATTGCCCTCCCGTCTCACACAAGCTGCTAGGCCGGTGTATCCTCAAGGGGGATTAAATGTGACAAAAACTTTGTGTGAGGTGGAGTCAGTGCCAGTCTACACACCTCTTAGTTCCACCATCTGGGGCCTGAACACAAGCAGAGCTTTCTGGTGCAGCTGAACGACACATGTCAGCTTCCTGATTTCTTAGGGGGTTTACAGAAGCAGTGTGGAGCTGTGGCTAGGGCTCTAGGATCACAAACGCAAGGTTGTGGGATCAAATCCCAGCTGGGACTACTGGGGTACCCTTAAGCAAAGCACTTCACTCAGAATGCTTCAGTTAAGCTGTATAAATGGTTACATGTATAAGTCACATTAGATAAAGAAGTCAGATAAATTAATAAACAATTCATATACAGGGATGATCCTGATTTATCCTTCATATAAAAAAGTGAAAGGTAGTCTAATCAATTTAGTTGTTTTTTAGACTTTTATTCAGAGAGACATTTTAGAATGTAAGAAAATAATGTGAGGTTTTCATGTTGAACACCAGCAACAGTGCCAAGTCAAACTGAGAAGCCTCCTAAGTACAGCAACATTAGATCTGTACCCCATTAGGTACAGATCTCCCACCTTAATGTACAAATCACCCTTCATCATCAGGCCCTGCGCTGCTGTTTTTGAGTGAGCTCTGTTTTGTGCTTCATGTTTTGTCTCCTTTGGGTTTGCTCTGAATAGGGCTTCTCATTTAAATAAAACAGGGTTAAAAAGATCACAAGAGCAGTTCAAGAATTTCATCTGATGAAATCAACTTCTAATAAAATGCTGGGCTCTGTAACATGATGATAAAAGGGCTGCGAAAATCACGACTTGCTCCTTTTTTCGTTCACGGACTTAGTGTTGACTAATTATGTGAGACATGGTATTCAAGGAACTTCCTGTCTACTGCTCCTGAACAGTTGGTTACCTTGGATCAAACATTCTTTCGTATGTGAACAAACAAAGAATAGATCTACGGTCTTGAAATAGTTTCCTTAAAACAGGTCACATATGCTGGCAGCTATTCTTAGACCTTGGCAAACTATTTTTGACTTCTCATTTCTTAGAGGAGAAATAAAAAAAACACTGCTTCACAAATATTCTGCCACAGCTGGCCACTTGTTGTAAGTTACTCAAAACTGCAGAACATAAGAAAAAGAGTTTACGAATATATTCATGCAAGACCTTCACGGAGCTGTTTCTTAAAGGATACAAGTCAGTTATCTTCTGCAGTTCTAATCGAGTGCTTTCAAGACACCCACTACTTGTTGTGAAAAGTAGTGTCTCCGATTTCCTGCCCTAAATACACCAGCCATGACTTCCATTTAAGGACTTCAGGGTCTGATTTTTTGTACTGAGTTGGAAACAGGTGTTAGGTCAGTTTCTTTTAGGCAGGGGAAACCGAAAAAAGTTTTCCTAGCTCAGAAAAACGGTATCTTAGGTTCTCAGTGTATAGGTCATTGGTATAGGTTGTTTTTTTTTTGGCAACAAGGTACCCATAAATGCAAAGATGGGGTATTGATGAAGGATTCCTCTCATTTTTACCTCACTCAATTTCTTGATATAAACCAGTATTTCTCTACTTTAACCCTGATGACTTAATCACACCCAAGTCATTGATCCACCTGTGGCCGCCCTGTTTTAAAATCTGAACTGCCCGACCACTTTATTTAAGATGTTTGCTACATCTATCAACTGTGGGAATTTGGGACCGAGCACCACCAATTTACAAAATGCTTCTGATTTACTTTGAGAAAGTGGTTTTCACTCTTTACAGAAGGAGAACCCCTTCTGTAATGTTCTCATTTAAACAGCACTTTGTAATCGCCTTCAAACAGCCAACGTAGCTTGCCCTGCTTGACCCAGTTATTGCAGGATGTCCAGGACAATGCACATCCCGTCATTCCTTACTCTTCGTTTCCAATCGCAGCTGGGCCCCTGGTCCAACAGGTGAAGAAGACCCGCCTCCAGAGAGACGACTTTGAAATCCTTAAAGTGATCGGCCGCGGCAACTTCAGTGAGGTGAGGAGGGTAGGATGGCGAGCTGCAGGTTATGGCCAGTGTTACGTCAGACTGAGAGACAGGAGGTACAGTATGTAAGATTGAAGTTTTAGTGACAAAGATGTCACTGCTGCACTGCCTGAGTGTCCTGCAACAAAAGGAAAGTAAAGAGTATTGTTTTAAGATCCCATCAATATTCAAAAAAGAAACAACAATAATCTGTTTCCTCACACATCTTTACAGCTTTGAGTGGCAGACATCAGTAATCATCTCCTTGTACAGTTGAGTTTTGGTCCTTTATTAACTACAATGTCTTAAGAGCATGACTATTTGAAAAACCTAGAGATGTTACTTTAGTTCATGAATCATTCAACCGGCAGGCGAAGAAATGTGATCCAGGATGACATGCTCTTCAATGTCTAATTTGACTCCAGCCAATTCCAAAGCTGCGCTTTTCCTCCTGTTAGGTGGCTGTGGCAAGAATGAGACGGACCCAGCAGGTGTACGCCATGAAGATCATGAACAAGTGGGACATGCTGAAACGAGGAGAGGTACGTCGTGGGCGCTCAGGTGTTTCACGGCAGTGTGTGTGGGCACACCCCCGATTCCAATCATCTGCTCTGGCATCTTCGGAGCTCAGAACAGTGATAGACAAACCCACCAGTAGGTCTGGAAGAGCTGAATTCTCTTGAGAGTCCTGAGAGAGGTGAGAGAGATCTTTCCCTCTAAGGTCTCTCTACAAGCTCCACAGCTACCTGTGCACCCACCTGTGCACCCACCTGTGCATGCAGCTGAACCCCAGATTTCAAGCTGCCCGCTCCTCTTGAACACAAGCTTGACACTTGATTACAGACAAATCTGCACAGTTTAACATACAGCACGTTTTATGCATAACTAGTTAATAGTACTGTTTCTATTACAGTACCATTACTACAAATACTATTTTTATGTCAACAAATGTGCTTCACAACAATAAAAAATCTGGCAGAGATGCATTCAAACATTCGTGAATACAGCTGTAAATAAAAACGCCAGCAGTCACGAGAGAAACACTAAAGGCTATTTATATGGAAAAGGCTGGGACGCAATCCTGGAGGGCCAGGGTTCTGCAGGTTTTTCATGTCTTTAAATAAAGCATCAGCTGAGTGAAACAAATTGGTTCGATTAAACCAATAACAAAATGATTTGAGTAAGAGTAAGAGCTATGCTACAAACAAAAACTTAAAAGTTTTCTCCAGGACCAGAGTTAGACCATCCAATCGTCTCTGACTGAGAGCTGAAGGGCTCATATTTGGAACCAAAGCAAGTAAGTGAGTTATCCATGGGGTCAGACGTTCAGAGAGCTGTAAGTGAGCTCATAGCTTTGAGTCAAGACCACCCAGAGAAAGAGGCAGGTGAAAGTGCAATGGGAGGCAGTTTATGAGGGAGTCCAACAGTGAGCCTGTGATGATGTTTCTGTGTGGTGGATCCAACTCCCATAGGTGGCCTGCTACCAGGAGGAGAGAGAGGTGCTGGTCAGAGGGGATCGCCGCTGGATCACAGAGCTCCACTTCGCCTTCCAGGATGACAACAACCTGGTACTTAAAGCGTTTAGACTACACCAGGCTTCATTAGATCCTAGGAAAGGTTAATCTGGAGAGGAAGGCATTTAAACCCTCTTCGTCATTGGTTTTCCACTAGCTTGCTGATCTGAAAACCTTCAGGGTATCTGTGTCAACAACAGGGCTGGGCAGTTGGTTCCAGAAGAAAACCACCCTTTGCTTATAGTAGTGCTTCCTGCTTTCAGTTGTGAAAGATTTTAAATACCCCTCACAAGCCCCTTTCGGCCACCTCTGTTCAAAACCATTGAGATTCATTTCTCTTTGGCGCTGTCTCTTAATCTGTCCGCAACATAGTTCCTGATGACCAACACTTAACCTTGTTGTCTTTCTGATAACTGATTATTGTAAATGTGATAAAACCTTCAGACTAAAATAAAAAAAAGTGGCAGGGAGCATCTGGGTGGCTCATCTAGTAAAGGTACCTGCTCAAATTATTGGACCTACAGCCTGAAGACTCCAATACAGATTGTGTCACAAATCAGACACTCACTTTTGGGGTGGGTATATATACTGGGATATAATGGACTCCATCACGATTGTTTTGGTGAAGCAAACAAAGCAAAATGATAGTTCAGGCAGCAAATTCACATTCTCCCCCACACTGCACCAACATCATACCTCACAATTAATCCTCATTTGATCATTATCAAAGAAAAACATAATGGAAAGTCAAGGATCATTGTGTGTGTCAGGGGGACAGTGGTCAAGGTTTTGGCCTTCCTTTGGACAGGACGGTTGTGGCTTCATATCCAAGAGTGGAGCGGAGAACCATTTCAGTAAAATACATAGGTGAATAAATGGGTGCAAATGTAAGTTGCTTTGGATAAAGGCATCAACCAAATTAATTAGTAGTGACTATAACACGTAGTAAAGATGCCTGTAGGAGTCAGAGCTGCTGTCTCCTTCCCAGACTCCCCTTGCTTTCTTAGCTAAGTCCCCAAAGCTTGCTGGTTGGGCAATCTAAGCATGCAAGTGTTTTAGAGGGAAGAGAGCCATTGAAGGGCAGAACCAATGGTTAAGTTTTTAAGAAACATTTATCTGAAACTGTTTAAAAACCAAGCTCACCCCTGTCCTCCTGTCCTTCTCCCTTTCCAACTACCCTTCCAGTATCTTGTGATGGATTATTACGTTGGAGGGGACCTGCTCACCCTGCTCAGCAAGTTCGGAGATCGGATCCCCGAGGAGATGGCCCAGTTCTACCTGGCAGAGATGGTGATGGCGATCGACTCTGTCCACAGGCTAGGCTACGTGCACAGGTTTTTAATCTTGTAATCATTTCCTTTCCAAGTTCTGCAGCCAGCAGTTCGTCCGTCATGCCTGCTGGGACCAAACATCTCTGATCATCAAATTACTTATCCTTGTTCACTTGTCTTTATGGTTTTAACTGCAGGTAGACATGGGCAAAGTGGGGGAAAAAAACTTCAGAACATTCAGAGCTGTAGGAGTACCATCCCCGCAATTGATACGAGAAGCTCTGTGCTCTGTGGCTGTTACACAATAACCAACATGATCAGTCCTTTACTGAATATCCTGCATGCTCTGTTTGGCCTTCACAACACACTTATTGTCGTTTTTGCCACGGATGGAGAGTGCTGCAGTCTGAACATTTGTTTTTCCTTTCTTTGGATTACAGAGACATCAAGCCTGATAATATTCTGCTGGATGCTCAGGGTCACGTGAGACTCGGTGACTTTGGCTCCTGTTTGAGACTACAGGACAACGGGCTGGTGAGAACATCTGAAGACATGGGGTTGAGGGGTCAATGGTGGGGTTGCCATATAATCCTGCGATATTTTCGGACGGTACAGGTTTAAAAAATGTATTAAAGCACATATTAATGAACTATTGAATGAAATAGTTCAGAAATCCGGCCCAGAGAACATGCCCAGAGAAGAGTGATTAGATAATCAAATGGTTGGCTTGTCCTACTGTGAAAGACTAAAATAATTGACTCTTTTCTGTATTGACAGAAAGGGGGACTGGGAAGCTCAATGACAGCTCTCATTACCATTAAAATACAATATACAAAACATGTCACTTTGAATTTCAAGTTTCCAATTATTTTGATGATGTCCTTAATTGTGCAATGTGTACACCTGCTTGATTTACACTCACTTCATTAAATCATAACTGGTTCAGTTCATCTGTGATTTGCAAACGATGGATTGAATTCTTTCTGCTTCTAAATGCTATTTTCCCCAAAAAATCACCCAAATTGTTTAATCACACTGAGTTTCCACTACTAATGATGTCAGTATAGAGGCAGCTGTAAAATACCACTTGGTCCTGTCTCCAGCTTTTCATTTTTAGTTGACAAACACGGTGACAATGGGACTTTTTAACAGCAGCTGCTCTTAAGACAGGCTTCAGGCTCTTAACCATCATGTTACCAGAAGCAGTGACTATGGGGCTCCCAGACTGATAACGTTTGCGCTTGAGAGTCTAAAAACACAATGTGTCCATGCTAGTTCCTGGAGAAGGTACGGCCTTTCAAGCCTGCCTTTCATGTTTGAGGACTTACATTTAGCAGTTAATCAACAATACTCTGTGCTGAATTCTATGACAGTTCTTTGGGGGGGGGTCGCCTAAAAGTCTTCATTGCTCCCCTTGTCTTTTAAAATGCCACTTTTAGCTCTGGGCCCACTCTCTTGTAACCCGCAGATCCACTCTTCGCTGGCAGTGGGCACCCCCGATTACCTCTCTCCAGAGATCCTGCTGGCGGTGGAGGACAGCACCCGCGGGTACGGGCCAGAGTGCGACTGGTGGTCCATGGGCATCTGCGCCTTTGAGATGTTCTTCGGCACCACGCCATTCTACGCCGACTCCATCACCGAGACCTACGCCAAGATCATCCACTTCCAGGTAGTCCTGCCCTTGGCGTGCCAAATCTTAGTCCCCCCTGCACTGCTCCGTTTAATGAAAGCGCCAGAATGAGTGGGGCTGAGTCCGGTTTATAAAAGAACAAAGAGTTGGTGCCATCTGAAATCATTCATTCAGCGAGGCTCTCTAAAATTTCAAAGCGAACAGCCAGATCAGCTCGGAGTCTACTGCAGAATTGCTTTTCTGAACTAACAAGTGGTTATGAGCTGCAGACACTGTACACCCCAGTGGCTATAACAAAAAAATAGCACTGGAGAAAAGCCAGCAAATGTTGCCGAGAAGCGGGTGGCTTGACCAGTGACTGTTCAAACATACAGTATTTGTCATACCCTGACCTCTGAACCCCTACCCCTGTGTTCCCCCAGCTGTGCTGAGCCTCTTTTCCACTGATTTACTGCTTCCTTCCTGTCATTCACAATACCTTCTCTCCAGCTGGCCTGCTGACTCAAGAGCATTCCTGCTTCCTCTCAGCACAAGAGGCACAAAAAGAGCAACAGCAGGGACCTTCCATTGTGTCACCCAATGAGAAGCCTCTACCTGGAGCACAGGGTGAATTCTAGAGAACAGAGGTCTCCGGTTCAGATCCAGGTTTTGCCATGTGCCCCATGTGTGTAAGCTAGATATAGCATCCCATAGGAAAGGAACAACTAGGTTCTAGCTCATCACTAGAGTATTTGACTCCAGATCAACAGGTTCCCCGATTCAAATCCAGGTGCCCCCTCTTTACCAAATTCCACGCAAGTAGTTGTCATGGAAATAAAGTATCAAATGTGAACTGCAAAAGACACAGACTTTACTTTTTATTTGTATACCCAATGGTTTTAAGATTTGGCAGGTCTGGCAACAACGCCTGTAGTAACCCAGGAGAGAATGAGAGATGTAGACAAGCTGCTCCCAACATGCCCACCACAAAGTCATCTTGGCATCTCTTACTGGTGTCGCTGCAAGCCTGCAGGCTTGTGACAAGTCTTAGGAGCTGCTGCTGAGCCAAGCCAATCCCTACCCTGGTGGTGTTGTACAAATCAAGCAGTACCGCTTAGGAGGTCCTGGTCGCAACCAGCTAGTGACATGACCCAGGCTCGAACCTGCAACATCTGGACCACAGAGACCAACCTGCTCTCTAACGAAGATCCTTTACAGCCTGTGCCAATCTGGAGGAAAACCACATTTTTTTACATTTTCTTTCATTTAACAAGGCGACCAGGAGAGATCAGGTCTATTTCTTTCAAGAGCCGGCTGCGTTGTTATTGATTTTACTGTATGCCCGACTTCCCAGGAGCACTTCGAGTTCCCCAGCACGGACCCCCCGGTGTCGGAGGACGCTCGCGCCCTGATCGGGGGACTGGTCTGTGAGCGGAGCCATCGGCTGGGTGCCGGCGAGTTTGAGGACTTTCGGGGGCACCCGTTCTTCGCAGGCATCGACTGGGACACCCTCCGGCACTGCCAGCCACCCTTCCAGCCCGAGGTGTCCAACGCCACCGACACCTCCAACTTCGACGTGGTGGACGACTGCCTGAGTGATGTGGTAACTGCACACTCACATGCACACCCTTGAATCTGCTGCATACAACATACAGCCAGGCAGTCCATATCAACAGAAAGCTTCTGGTTTTGGCCTTACATTATATATTCAGAGGATACAGCCATTGAGTAAAACAGGAAAGGCACAATAGTATTAAAACGATAGATACAATTGTCAAGTCCTGATGGAGAGCCAGTCAACACTATGTTTTCAAGTTTGTTAGAAGTTTTACTGAATCAAACTTGTTCTCTTGGGGGAGAGCTTGTAATCAAGACAACTGAAAACCTGAGCGAATGATACTAGACATCCTTTTTCCTCCTGCTCTTTCTGGTGAGGACTGTGGCCCATAGCAGGCCCGTTTAACACTATAGCCTTATTATACTTGCAGACACGCTGAGGGTACATCCCTCTTGCTTGGAACACATGGTTGGCTCAGGGACAACACTTCTGGGCTAGTGAACTTCTCCACCTGATTCATTTCTTTGAAGACATCTTCATTCAACAAATCTTAAAGCAATTAACTTGCCAGGTCAACTCATGAAATCAGGAAAATCAAAAGGAGTCTGTTAAGAAAACAACCAGGTTCACAGACAACTCGACCTGCTTGCTCTGTTTGTGGAACAGAATCCAAGTCCTACTTCAACTTCAATGCTTTATTGCCATAAAAATGAGTTGCATGGAACTCCGTTGAGTCAGCTCATACAATTACACGCCATACAAATAAACTCCATAAAGCCAATTATAGACAGCATTCACCTGACACATGACACATACCCTTTCAGACACACACTGGTAATAAAATAACTAGCTGTGAGAGACAGAATAACAGTCCTCTGCAGTCAAAGGAAATCGAGCACCTAATGCAATTTGCGGAGTGGGTATCTGAGCTCAGCTTTAAAAACTAAGTGTTGGCAGAAAGAATACTTGCAGGCAGGTAAGTTTGATGCCACTGCAGTAACTCCCTCACACACAAGACCGAGATCTGGGGGGGTTAGCTATGGACTGAGGAGAGTGTGCTTCGTTGTTTTAGGAGACTCTGAGTGAGGTGCTGGAGGATTCACCAGCAGGGGTCCACCTGGCCTTCGTGGGCTACTCCTACACCGCCACCAAGTAAGGACAGAGGAATGTCGCAAACGTCTTCCACATCCATAGCCTTCCTGTCGATTCTCAGCCTGCTTTGCACATGGTTCCATACCTTCCTCTATTTTCCAAGTGTCCTCACTTGGCTGGGCTGTCTGTGTAAACCTGCAGCTCCCTGTATATGAGGGTCATTTTGCAGCAGTTCAATATGCTTTCAGGATGAAAGGGCACCAGTACAAAAAGATCTGATAGCAAATGGTCAATGCGAGACTCTCAAAAGCAGCTTCTTCTTTTTAATGGTTGCATGTCTTTCAAACATTATAAACTGTGTGGTTTGTTATACCTCCTTGAAAGTACTTTAACACACACTGTCTTTAAAATAGATTTTTCCATCATCCTTTAATATTTTAGTTTTAAATGCATGAACATTTTCATAGATAAGGATATTTTGAATGCTTTTATAATCTAGATTAGTGATGGCATCAGTCCACAAGCACTAGGGGTTCGACAGGTGATCTGAATTAAGAAGAGCAGTACTATTGTCGATGTAGTCACAATTCAGTACTACCACTTTAATTCCAGTTTACGTGTAAAACAATTTCACGGTCCAACACATGTAAACTAGTATAATTAAAAAAGACTTTTAAAGTTTAGTTACTGTTAGTAGCCTAGAAATAGTGCGAAAAGTAGTTCTGTGCCACCAGTCGTATTTATTCCAACGCAACCTCATCCCTCTGGTGGCGAAACTGTGCTATAACGCTGCAGAAACAAAATATCCATCGGCGACAAAAACTTTAACATATACCCTTACAACATGACTAAACGATTGCTCTTTCTGTTGAACTGGCGGACGAGAATAACTTTTATCACTTTTTTCCCTTTACGTGAGCATAACAGTACCTGTAGTTTCAAAGGCGAGTCGTTAAAATCTCGCAATTAACTACAACATAATTTCCTTATTTTTTAATTGATATATTTTACGAGTGACTGTTTAAAACGTTCGACAAATTAACGAACATTTATTTTACCTTAAATTCTGTGTGACTGCATGCGTCTTCCCTCGATGGTCGTTAATTTGTACTGTTTAAAGTATTGTTGGTTCCGCCCACTTATTTGTAAAAGTCAGGCCTGGCATCTCCTTTCTGCACTGACTGAAATCAGAAATCGCTTTCTTTTTCAGACGTTAATTCACCAAGAGAGAAATTAAATACAAGTTATTTTTATTCCCGGGCAACATTATCGCCGTATGTCCTCGCGAGCATTTTGGCGACATCTTTTTGCGTGTGTTTCTAGGGGGGGTTAACGCAATTCTTAGGTTTAAACAGTAAAATACACAATTGTATCTGTTCTTAAAGGTGTAGGGGTTATATATAGTCATCAGAACATTTTAAAATCAGACTTCTTTAGGACCGTCTTCCCTGGAGTTAATTTTCGATACTGTATTTTGTTCCGTTATGAAACAGGTTCGGACTTTTTGTACATATGAAACTAGAATCACATTCATTATCTGTAGAAATGCGAATGTGGAGGTTATTAAAACTTCGAGTTTTTAACAAGCAAATAATAAAGAGTGGAAAATTGGGCCATTTATAATGATTCGGAACTTTCATATCTGTAACGGTCACTCTGGCTGTCGCACATGCGCAGCACTGAAAATGGTGCAGACGCGTGTTTACAAAAATTATTGCGTGATAAAATACAACCGAGTTACACACAAGACAGGCGACTAAATAGCTGAATACAGCTAAAAGTTGCAAGGTATACCGCTGGGAATCTGGTAAGTAGCAGAGGTTACTTGATCCAATTTTATGATTGCTTTAATCGATGGCTGGCAGCAAGTGTTGGAAGAAGTGCTTGAAACCCTCTCGATAGTACGTCTTAAAAATACCTATAAGTAGCCCATGTGTAATCTCCACCGTGGTCAAAAACGTTGTACAAAGAGCTTCATGCCCTGTATTAATAACAGCAGAGTTTTTTTTTATATAACAGTAAAGTGTTGGCACTCCAAAGTACAATAACTAAGAAGTTCAGAGCACTGTGCAACATCAGTTTGATTCCGTCCAGCGCACTTCCTGTAATCCAGTTTAGACGAGTCCTTAACTCAGTCGTACCGTGTAGCCCGTTTATTTTTTCTTAACAAAAATCTAAAATGAAACACCAACACAGAAACAATGCAAAACAGATATGCTAAGACTGTGAGAAAGGAAACGGAGGGCCTGATTCTGTACTAAAGAGCAGCACCTGAAAACTCTAATAGTGGGGGATCTGTGTCTTCCTGCAGAGAGACGGGGGCCCAGGACCGCAGTCAGGACATCATGATGGAGATCGACAGGCAGCAGCTGACTGAGGAGGAGAGCCTGCTATTCCAGGAGAGGCTGGTAGGGGGCGACATTCCTTGTATCTTTTTCACAGTATGTGTCCCCCCATCACCATACTGAGACACAGCTTAGTTTTAGCTTTCCCAGGAGGTCTCCCATCCAGGTACTGGCCAGGCTCACACCTGCTGAGCTCCAGTGGGCTGCAGGTTGTGAGTTGTAGGATGATATATTGTTTCGTTGTCGCTATTTGCGATATACAATCCGGTCTGGATGAGATTGTTATGAAACATCACAAATAACTGTAGTCCGTTTAGCCTCTTAGCTCATTTTTGGTGTCCTAGATAAACTTCTGCTGTGGCCTGCACACACCTGCATCAAACCTTCCTGCATTTCTCATGTGATTCGATTGGTACATTTGGTCTTCTTCGGTCACAAACAGCATTAGCCTCAGCTTTCCGAACCGCCATTGTAGCTGCGCTGCCTGGGATCTGCTCGGCAGGTGTCTCCTTGCTGTGTCCCGCTGCAGAGTCAGGTGTGGAGGCTGAGGGCAGTGCTTCCTGCTGAGGTGCCCGAGCTTCTGGAGCTCCCCCTAGCGCTGGGGCAGAGAGCCGCGGGGCCAGTTCGCTGCCAAGAAGAGATGGACGTGAGCACCAACCAAAACGTCGATCTGAAGAGGTAGGAAAGGGCTCCTCCCTCTGGAGCTTCCTGGTAGATCGCTGGGGTGGGAATAACAGCAGTCCTGATCGCAGCTGGTGTGTGGCAAAGTTTGAACATCACGTGTTGTTCCGGATGCAGTCAGCGGTAGTAGTGGAAGTTATTGCCATAAGCTCACATACATTGGAATTCTCATTTGCACTGATCTCTCGGGACAGACACAGTACAACAGACAGCACCACACAATGTAGACAGTAAATTAGAACGTATTAAATAATATAACCAGAACAATAAATACTGACTAGTGAAAGGAAAAGAACAGGGTAATCCATACCAAAAGTGCATAATGCATTGAGTCTGAAGCATTGCAGTTAGCTGTTAAGGATGTGTACTGCAGTAGGGCAGAAGTTAAGGATGCGTACTGCAGCTGTGAGGTGTTGGCTTGTGTGTACTTTTCCTATGGCAGCTGTCCTCCTGTTTGCCTCAAGAATGCATCACTGACTGGGGGGTGTATCAATGGTTTATGGTACAGACCAGCCTCTATCAATGTCTGTAAGAACTTAAGAATAAAGAACAAATGAGAGGGGGCCGTTCAGCCTGCCTAACCTGTTTGGTAGTTAGTACCTTTGTTGATCCAGGGATCTCGAAGCAGCACAAACAGGCATATTTGGGATTTGAACCCGGCACCTCCTGCACCCTAAGCAAGAATCATACTCCTAGACCTATAAAACAAGACCAAGGCTTTCATCTTGGTGACATGTGTTGCTGGCATTATAAGAGGTGGTATAAAGTTTTTACTTCTCATATCTTGAAGGGATTATTTTGCATACCCTTATTAGCAGCAGTCTTGAACCTCCTTATCTAAATTAATACTGGGAATTCCAGGATTAGTGATAATTTTGGCATGTTAAACCACTGAGAAGTGTTTCTGTGGATAAGTGACATCAAATTGGATTTGAGTTCAGACACATATCAAATTTAGTTTCCTTGTGTAACTTAGTTTCCCTTGGTATATAGACTAAAATAAAATAACGTTTTATTGTATGGTATGGTTGGTGGGTGTTCTGAGATGACCTAGACCGGAGCTCCTGGGAGGACTGGAATAGAAACTGGACACTGCTTTCTTCATGCCCTGTCTGTGTCTCTTTTTTGCTGAGACATGGGTGGGATCCTGACTTCACCTGCCTCAGATGTCTATAAGCTTATGGGTTTCCTCCTGTTAGTACTAACAGGGCTCCCCTTGGCGTGGCTGTTTGATTTCTTCACAGTCGTCTAGAAGAAGCAGAGAAACGCAACTGGGAGTTGGAGGGAGAAATCGAGAGGCTGAGACTGGAGATTCAGGGTCTCCGATCTCCAGGGCACGCAGGCAAGTCAGCAGGGCTGGGTGACGGAGTCACCTGGGAAATAGCCAACTTGATCTCTCATTGTACCACAGGTGGCGGGTGTGTTTGTAAGATTGAAGTAGCTGTACTCACTCTGGCATTGGTCATGTTAACAATTCTCAAGCATTTAAGCAGTACAGTTACTGCAGTTATGCATGTCATTCTACCAAGCTTGGTTATGCTTGAAACACCAAACTGCAGTTCTGCGGTTCTCAAAGCCAAAATGAAAAATGTTCACTACGTCTGCTTTAAAAAGATCAAGTATGGATAACTATGGACAGTTATAGGTCCACGTAAAAAATCAAGGCATTTTGCCTTCGTATACTCTCTGCACAGAATGGAATATACAGTACATACTGCAGATTGCAGGTTGGCCCCATGAAGATTCAAGTAGAAACCACTAGAGGGCAGCAACACCGCACCAAGGAGTAGGATGCTCAGGCAGTGCTGTGGCCTTGCATGTGAGAATGACTTTAATTGAAGACTACTCATACAGAATTAGCCACAGGTGTGTATTCACTTGGAAGGTGTAAGTTCTCTGGGAACGAATAGGAAAGTCTTATTCTGGGAAGGAGCTCAGAAGTGACTAGAGTAGAGGTGATAGCTGGGCCCTGGACCAACTGAAGGATGGTGTGGGAAGCAGGAGCAGTCAATCCCCGGACCTGCTGCTATGTGAAGGGAAAGGAGTGGCGTGGCCCTGATCCAGTATTGATGGAAGGGAGAGAATTCCCACATCGGCACCCTCAAGGAAATACGGCAGATGAGAGGAGGAAAGGAATTTGAGGAGCAAGTGGAGGGTTTTCCATTCCAAAGTCATTATTTTACTAATGGCATTCTGTCTACTGTTACATGCTACCAGACACTATAAAATCTATCCAACAATATAATTCTGTCTACAGTAGCGGTCTCCTTATGTAAAATAATGGTATTCCACTGATTTTTGTCTACAGTAACACAACAAGGCTATTGTAGACTGTACCAGAATTTGTTCCAGAGTATTACTTTCTTGTACTCTGTTACCACTGTTTACCTCTTTACAGTTATGGAATCTTATTTTATTTCATCCTTGATACCTGACCTTTAAGTTACTGAACCAATCTCATCACTAGCTTCATTGTAAAGAACAAATGCTACTGAGTCTTGGAGTAAATTTTGTCTTCTCTTTACCCATCACATGTAAATTTCTTGCTAGTTTGTCATCTTTAATTGCAGAACAAGGAGAGAAAACACTTTTAGAACATGTCCTACAGCCCTGAACTTGTTTCTCATCCTCTTATGTTTCTTGCTTTGTGATACTGTTATTAACTTTCAAATCTTATTTACAGGTATGGAGGAGAACTAAGTCAGAGCCAGGCTGTAAAGCTCACTGGTGCCATGTCACTTGATTTCTCCTTGTTTAGAAAGATTTATATATATATATATTTCTTGCTAGAATACATATTTTGTTCCTGACTGAAACATTCAGTCATATAGCTTCCAGCATCACCGGCGATTAAAAAATGAAAGAAATGAAACTGCCATACAAGTGACAGATCTGTTCATTAATTACATTTTTCTTGAAAAGGGTAGTCTTCTGCTTTCCTATCCCCACTCCTACCTCCACCACCACCACTTTTCCTCCAGTCACAGCACTCCCTATAGCTGGCTTGTCCACTCCTCCAGGACACACCCGCTCTGTCAAATCCCAAAAGCCAAACACTCTGCAGCCTGTTTCCTCGTTCACCCAGCCACAGCATTGCCAAAACATGCTTTTCACGCCCGGCCCACTGCACACGCTCCTCCAGTTGCATGGCTCAGCGCACCTTCGCCCCACACACACCTCATATCACATGAGGCGACTTCCTGCTTGCTTGGATCACGCATACAGCTGCTCTAACCAGCTTCTCTCTTCCTCCAATCACAGAGCTGAGAATCTGCCAGTCTCACCACACTTTGCCTGCCTGGTGTCCGGATCTCATGTGGGATGTAAGGATCTTTTTGTGCTATACATAGCTAAATATGCTTTACTGCTATACATAGCTTTTATTATGTTTCCTTTGTGCAGGAAGGAGACCGGTGTTTGAGATGCACTTTGTTTCCGACTGGGGGCGGGAGGAATAGATGTTTGGAAGAGCGCTTGTCAACTTGCTATATCAGATCTTGCGTGTTTAGTTGGTAGTAGCTAATTGGTCCAAAGATCTTATCCAGCTGTTTATTGAAAGAAGTCAGGGTATTGGTCTGAACAATATGGCTGAGCAGCTTGTTCCTGTCTCCCACAATCCTTTGTTTGAAGAACTGCTTCCTGCCTAAGGGATGATGAAGACTAGGCCTTGCCCTTGCCTGTTTACCAGTGATAGCTTTTATTTCCAGAGTTCTGCGACGCCCTCTGTCTGCCAGTACCCTCTGGTCATCCCCATTCATCGCCACCTGCTGCTGTTCCACAGGGTGGGTGAACTCCTCACTTTCAGTCTTTTATCTTCACACTATTGAATCACACAAAACTATGGTGCAACAAACAGAAATGTATAATACCCTGCCGAGAATAAGTTCAATTAGTACTTAGTTCAATTCATTTCTGAAGTGGAAAATGGAATCCTCTGCTTGTAACTCAAGAGGATTTGGTTTCTGTTCCACCCCTTACCTTCAGAGAGCAAAGAACATTTTCTGTTGGGGAGTTGAGGGTGCTGTTAGAGCTTTAATCAGTATAAATAAATAAGCCTAACAACATACAGACATGGCAGTTTATAGTACAGTGCAGGCTAATGTCACTGTCATTGCTAACTTTGGCTGACTGACCTCTATTCACATTAGTTTGCCTGTTACTATTACAAGCCTTGCACCACTGCCATAACATTGATTTGAGCAACAAAGAATAAAAGATTAGACTGACACACACTGAGAGATTAAAGTTTAGAAGGGCACCACAATGGTTTTTGAGAAGCCAGTGGTGACTTTCAGGATCCACTGCAGATTATTGTGTGATCTCTCTCTTCTTCCTCCTCTGCTCTCTTTTCCTTCCCTCCTTTCTCTCTCTGGGCTCTTGCAGGTCCGCTGGCCGCTAGTGAGGACTGAGGGGTACTTGCTCGTGTGTGCAGCTGGCAGTGACCTCCATGCCTGGTCACGACACTGTTGCACAGAGCTCAGCTGACAACCAGCCAGCAGAAGGACAGAGAATACGCTGGATCTCTGCCTTCAGGTCTTTTTTCCCCTCTGAGCGTTTCAAATCTGCCAGATTGCCCAGAAGAACGCACAGTATTTGGGAAAGTGATCAACATCTTACGCCCTCACCCTGAAAGCGAATGATCTCGATTCCCTGAAACCCCCACCAAGCAGTCCCCTTTGTGTTCGCACGGCAGGAAGTGCCGGTGTTGAATTCACGTTGAGCATCGTCCAAGCTGGGAGAGAAAAACGGACAGTACCTCTCTTTGCAGTGGAGCCGATTCCAAGCTTGCGAACTGAAGCTGCTCGTCAGGATTGGGCTTAGGCTCAATGCAGTTCCATGATGCTTGCCACAGACTAGCTGCCTGAATCCTCGATGTGCCCCACCTTTTATTTAATGTGCACCGAAAAATGTTCCCCTGCCTCTCTTGAGAGATCAGCAACACATAGAGCAGAAACACATGCACTAAAACACACACACTTGCCAAACAGCAGACGGCTTGGACATTTTTGAACCACCTCTGGACTCCCTCGTCAGCGGTAATGCTGTTTTGTGGTCTTGGCTGGTGTTGAACCTTTCTGTAATGGTGATGACGATGTCTTGGTAGGGGTAAGTGGAGAGAGGCTGTCTAAATGTGTTGGCTTTCGTGGCCTCTTCTTGTACGTATTTTTGCTTTGGAGGTTTAAAGGGTCAAATGTGCATTTAACAGCTCCGGTGATGGTTGGCAGCTTGGCAAAAAAGGATGAAAAGCAAAAGAAATCCTTCAGTGGAAGCCGAGGGGAAACAGACCTGATTATTCAGCACTGAGTTGAGCTCCCGTGATAACAGTTGTCCTACACAGGGTGAGGGAAGGAGTAATGGGCTTACTTCTTTATGTCACAAACACTCAGACCTCTGGCACCAATGAGGCCACGTAGGCAGAGATCGCTGGGGTCATGCTTCCTCCTCCTTGGCTCAAGAGCTCATAGGGTTAAATTCAGTTTACAGCCCTTTCATTTTTGGTATTTTTATATCTGCCTGCCTTTAAAGCCGTAATACTCAGTCATTTAAATTCCACATAGAAGAACAGCAGGGTCTATTTAATAGCAAGAGAAACTGAAGCAATTTATCAATGCAACTTATTTTTTTTACTTTTTGAACATAATGCAATAGAGTACTAGTAATAAAAAAAAAAAATTTTGAGGACAAAAATTAAAAGCATCACTTCAGTCAAATTGGGGAAACTGTTTAGAGGGTCCTGTTTAGAACTGTCAAAACACCCATGTGTCCTTTTTAGGAAAAATGCCCACTTCAGGCTACAGAGGGAACAGGGAACTCAAAACCGATTAACAGCACTCCCTGACGTTTCGATTGAGAAACTGCTTGAAATCTGTCGAGTTTAAAGGCAGGTAGGTGAAAACAAAAAGAAAGGACCCTGAGAAAAGCAGGCAGGGCTCCGAGCTGGGAAAGGGTCTAGGAGGATGTGCCTCATTCTTCACATTGATTTCCTTCACCCGGCAGAGAAATGGGACAGCAAAATGGGAGGGGTATATAGGCTTACGAATTGAGAATTTAAATGTGTTTAAAATAGTTTTAAATGAAAAATTTTCTGTTTATCAAGTGAATGATCTATTTATAATTATTATTTATACAGAAATGTGTGAATAATTAAAGTGAGATAAAGGTTGCTTCGAACAACACAAGCGGACCTCTTCCCTGAGTGAGAGGTGTCCCGAACTGCTGAGCATAAAAACGGTAGTAGCACACACTGTCCACGTCTGGCTGGAAGGCTTCTTTACATAATTCCTTGGCCAGCAAAAACACTTTCAGAAGCCAAACTGTGAACTTTGCACTACGCTAGTCGCCTGGGGTGTATAATCGCATCAGCTGTATTTTCCTTGAAAAGCCTGTTTATATGTATTTATGCACAAGCCCAGCTCACTGTTTGTGGAATATGGGAAACATGGGGGGGGGAACCACAGATCGCTTTGCCCCAGGGCCTGGGCTCAGAGAGAGGAATATTTTTACCAAAGAACAAAAGAAGTTCTTCCGCCCACCTGTTCTGATTCAGTTTAATGTCAGTCTAATTTGATGTTACACAGGAGAGATATAAAGCCCTAACAGGTAATTACAAGTGAAAAAAAGTAGCTCTTCACATTCATTTAGTACTTATTGCAAACCTCAATTATTGGCACAATTTGTTTCCAGGTGCAAATGGAAGTATTGCTGTGCTAAGACTTGAAAATCCAGATGTAGGGGTGAGTCTCCTGTATGTCACAAATCATGCTGCCTGCAAACCAAGTATGAAACACAAATTACACGATAAACAGGTTTATTTAAAACACAACGAACTGCCGAGATTCCTCTTAGTAAGCAGAAAGTCTGCATTACTGAAAAAGCAGCTTCTTTATGACATGGAATGTGAATGGTTATTTTTGCAGCTTCGTAAACCTTTAGAGCAGGAAAGATTACTCAACCTTACAATCTATTATAGTGCAGGTCTTTGATATAATCAGCTGCTCAATTAGTACTGCCGCCAAATCATAGATTTAACTAAACAAATATCTGGCTGTATGAAAATACTGTGGTGTAATTAATCTGAAGGTCTGGTATTGAACAACCTCCTGCTCTATGAAGTGCAGAAATAGACAAATCCTGTGTCTTAAATCAGTGTATCCAATACGTTCCCTTTGAAAATGCTGTGAAGACGCAACTGTCTATTCTGTATGTGGCAAGTCTAGCCTGTGTACAAATATAAATCTTGTGCAATATTAAGATAGACATGCATGACAAGGACACACTATTTTATGATAATACAAAAATAATATATTGTACCTTTTATTTTTTTGAATGGGGTTCTTTTATAAGGCCATTCGCATACTATAAAAATAAAAAAATAACTAGTTTCATGTATTTGATAACTGCACTGTTGGGGGCTGGGTGGTCTTGAGTTCATTATCTTTCTAGAGACTGGTTAATTCTGGGGACTTGTCAGGCACTTCTGAGCTGACATCACCCCTCCTAAGTCACTTATCCACTGTGGAACTTGAAGCATGAATAATGATGTATTTATGTTGCATGATCTCTATCTCCTCTGTGCTGCTATAAGAGTCATATATAGCATGTACAGCTGTGCTAATTCTGAGCTGGTGATTCAAATAACGGGGTATATAAAAGGGCTTGTCAGCTGTTTAAATTCTCTAGTCTGCCAGCAAAGGAGAGGAATGGAGTATAAAACCATTTTGTGCTTTAGCCATGTAAACACAAGTTCTTCATAAGGATGCCAAATCTGTGCCCTTGCAGCTAATTTCTGAACTGAAAAGATGTCTATAGCAGGTTTGTCATAGTTTTTCAAAAGGGGTAACCCTCTCCGTTTAATCCGTTCTCTTTACCATAGTGGAAATCATTAAAGTTCTCGAGAAGACAGATTCATTCAAATAGCACATCAGATGTTAACCTAACGTATGTATGGTTTGTTAAAGAATAGCATTATAGCTTTGAAGAGCATATTGGTTTGGAGGGTATTTGTTTAAGAAACTGTAGGACAGGAGAGCTCTAGTCCAGTTAGTCATACAAGTCACTTGAAATCACCTGTTTTTGTACAGATGAAGAATACTTGTAAGCCATAGATCTACTAAGTAATTTTTTCATTTATTGGAACTCTGGACCTGAAACCTAAAAGTTCTTGGAGTTTTTATTCCAAATAATTTCTAAATAATTTAACCATTCACCTTTTTAATCGATCATGGTTAAATTGTTTCATGTCTGTAGGAACTGATGATTTCATGTTTATCTATAAAACCCTTTTGGAGCTGAAGTTCTTGTGGTAGGATCTCTATGCCAAGCTAAGCCTCTATGCTATTGAGGCGAAGAGGTTTGTGATTCTGTTTATGTACTATAACCTAGTGGCTTTTCATTATAAGGGCAAAAAGCTTGTAGTATATTCTTTAAGTATTTAAGGTTCTTCAAACAAAAACTGGTCTGGGCTATAAAAATGTAAGCTCTATTAATGAGCTATTTTTTATTCCTTCACCGTCAGAGTACCTGATTCCTGGTGGAAATCACAGCATCCTGGAGCCTGTCCAGGAAGCATAGGCCCAGTGCCAGATTACACCCAGGACACTAATGCAGGGGACACATGCATATTTAGAGACTTCTGACAGAATGCCTATGAGAAATGGAAGGAAACTTGGAGAAAACCCACTTGTAGGTACTGAGAACAGGTCAGTTCCCTGACCACAAGGTCACAGGACCAGTAAACCAACCACACTATGGAGCTGCCCAGTCATCCCCATTTTGTACCCATTTAATATTTGATCCCAGGATCTTATCCAGCCATTTCTTGGCCTTTGTCCTTTACAGTGAGGCCCCCTGCCATTATTGTGTGCTTGAAGGCCATACTAAACATCTTAATGTTAGTTCTCCGTTTTTTTACAATAAAATGTTGGCATTTTATTGTCAAAATTTTACAATACATTTTCAATGTTTCAATTTTCAATTACAAAATAATTTTCAATGTAAGATGCTTTTTCCTCAATGACATATTGGTAATTGGTATTGGAGAGTGAATCAAATTGCGTTATCCTGCAAGAACTGCGCAACTAGCTCGTATCCCCGCTAACTAAGCAAACAAAGTGAAAGGAATGTTTTGTTAATTTCCTTTGGTTTTTATCTTTTAATTCTCCTCCGTGGCCGATTTTGTGAAAGTCCCCTCTCGGGCAATGATGGAAGTCCAAGTCAGTGACTATGACTTGAGCTGAACGACACACTGCAGTACAGGACAGTGGTGAGCCATGTGAAATGAGGAGAAAAGCAGCTCAGTATGTATCACAATTTCAATGCACTGTTTCCTTTTGTTTCCTATTTTTTTACTACGTAGGACATTCCAAAAGGTTGTTAATTTCAAACACAACAAACCAGGGAGCTGTCAGCCTTTTATTATCAGATTTGTGGTTAGCTTTATAAAAAACTGCGTCAAACCTCTTATTTACTGCCAAGTGCTCCTGTCAATCTCCAAATCAGACCCTTCATAATGCATAGGCTAATCTGAGCAAGTGATGGGTTAAACAGAGCCGGCCTGTATGACGATATGCTTTGGTCCTCTCATCAATCACCCAACACACAATCGTATTCTCTGACTGAAAGTCTCAACCCTATAGAAAACCATTGCAGCTCTTGGAACAGGTTCACACCACTGCTCCTCATCATCACCAAGGAACAATAGTGGTTGATTTTCATAGCTAAAATAAATCCAATTGGAATGGGCTGCAATTATTTCAGAACTAATGCGACATCATATCCAAGCTGTTCCCACCGCTTAAAGAAACCCAATAACTTAAACAGTGATGCACTGTTTTAATGAGTTCTCTAGTATTTTATAACCAGCTTTGGAAGTTCATAAAAATACGAAATACGAAATACCTTTTCCTTGAGATACCCATATGACTTAATGATTTGATCTTCTCCGAAATGTTGTAAACTGGAGGGCACTTTTAAATGATTTATAAATGCACACCTGACAATTCAGACAAGCTTCCTGAAAGCACCAAATCATATTTAAAAAGCTAACATCATAAGTCCTGTCAAATCATTTAGGGCTTCTAACAAGTGCGGTACATCTGATTATACTGATGGATGTATAAGGACTTTTTCTTACAAAAACATCTAGTAAAAGACATTTCAACCCTATCAGCTCATTTAATCATTTATAAGTTATTTGATCATGGAATTAGGGAAGCCAATGAGTTAAACCTTCCTAACATTTTACATCAAGCTCATAAGCAGTAAAATGTTAAAATAAGATCTTTCCAAAAGCTTGTGACCCAAGAACTTTCAATTTCATGCCAAAAAATGGAGAATGTGGTACCCAGTATCTGGCAAGCAGCATCAATTTAAAAAAATACTTTTTGCAAACTGGAGTGTGCCTTCTCTCACCACAGACATTTGTATTGTGCTTACCATTGGAAACAGGATAAACAGAGAAGGATCTTAATGCTGAAAGGCTGTGGGTTAGCGTTATACTTACGGTTTTAGGGTATAGTGGTCGGGAATCCTTTAAGAAAGTCCACAGGACTTGTTTGATTGCAGATCTCCCACCTCAATGCTGTTGATCCTTGACCTGCAGCAAGTTTTCCACCAGGTTCACTGCAATGCTCACATTGATTACACATTAACACTGCAACGCCGGCTTTATCAAAACACAGTGGGGAAGAGTTCCTGTGAGACAGGGAGGGGACATGATGGCCGTGTCTCAAAATATTTTTCCCCAGAGTCAAGTCTCTTTCCCCCACCCCATCACTTCACAGGAACAAACACTATACAGTACAGTACATATATAAAGTATATTACCCCTTAACTCTCTTAAAATTAAAACTCCCATAAAATTGTACACTTTTCACAGCTAACAAAGAACTAAATGGCACCAGAAACCAGTTTAATCACTTTAGTTTATTGGAGAAATGCCCCTTAGCACTGTACAGCTTGAAACCTACATATATTTCCCACACCACATTATTGACACTGGGGTTTTGAATTTGCACAATCTGGGGGCGTTCAACGTAAAGGAAATGGGATTTCACTCTACACAGGGGGGGTTAAGGCTTGAAGCTGGTGTTCCTGTCTTTTGTGGTCTAAGGTTTCTTTGTCGCACGGCGCGTCACAGCTTTGGCAGAAGTCTATGACGTTTAGCCGGCCAGCACGGAGAAAGAAGGGCCAAAATAAAGTTAGAAAAATTCCAAAACGGGGGGGTGGAGGTGAGATTGTGCACTGGAAAATGTTCCAACAGCTTAAAAAAACAAAACAAAAAGACATGCACACACGCAGCACACAAACCCAACTTGCACAGCTCCGCAAAGCGGCACGGAATCGTTTCTTTTCCGATTTCTTTTCAACAGCAAGCGTCCACACCGCAGCCCCCGTGTGTCTCTGTCCCCGGGTCGGGAGCGCGTTTCACCTCCCGTCCTCCCGCCTGGAGCGGGCGTGCACCAGCTCGCAGGGCTGCACCCAGTTGTTGTCGTGCAGCCCCACCCGGCAGCCCGGCGTGTCCTTGTCGGTGCGCCGGCAGCACATCCAGTACGAGCGTCCGTAAGGCAGGTCGTGGTGGTAAGGTTTGGGGTGCCAGCGGCAGAGCGAGACGTCCCCCCTCTCGTAGTGCCTCTTGCACTGCTTGCAGGGGTCGTCGCGGTACAGCGGGTCCTGGTTCCAGCGCGAGTCGGTGGCGTGGATGCCGTAGGTTTCGATCAGTGCCTTGAAGTCGTGGCAGGTGCACTTGAGGGCGGCCAGGGAGCGGGTGGGCAGGTAGCTGAAAATGTTGACCATGATGTGGTCGGGCAGGAGCAGCATGTACTGCCGGGGCTCCAGCAAGCGCTGGATCTTGAAGCGGATCTCCAGGAAGTCGTGGGAGACGTGGCGGTACAGGCGGCACAGGGAGGTGTCCGCGGAGTCCGGCTCGGACGCCGCCGTGGGGGAGTCTGGCCGGTCCAGGCTCCCAGCAGGGCCGTTGTTGTTGGCGCAGTCCAGGGAGCCATGGGCTACCCCTTCTTCCTCGGGCCTGGGGGGCTGCAGGAAGAAGAGCTGGCCGGGAGGAGGGTCTTCGCCAGGGTCTGGCGCCTGGGAACCGACTGTGAAGCAGACCGTCTCCTCCTGCACGTTTTCAGTGCTGTCCTTGCCGTAGAAGACGCACTGGTCTACCGCGCCCGTCACCACCACCTCCACGTGGAACCCCGTCACGCACTCCCTCGCCTTCTTGTCCGCGTTCCCGCCGTCCGGGGCCGAGTCCGAGCCGGTGGGCGGGATGGGGCGCTCCGCTTGTCCTTCCCCCCGGGAGTCCGCCTTGGGGGAGGCGGCCAGGAGAAGCCCCATGTTGCTCGTGGGCAGGGGGTCGCGGGACGAGGGGCTGACCAGCTGGTAGAGGTCACAGGTGATCTTCTCCTTGGCGCGCGCCCCCGCCGGGCTGCCGCTACCCCCCCCCCCCCCGCAGCTCAGGAACATGCAGTTTGGCCGGCCAGCCGGTTCGGACTGGGAACGCGGGTCCATGCTGGAGACCCGGAAGGCAATTCTCACCTCCCCTCCTCCTCCTCCTCTGCCCCTGTTCCCGCTGCTCCCCCCGGCCTCTCCCTGCTGGTCCTCCTCCCCGCTCTCCCGCTCTGCCCCAGCACGCCTCAGGAGGGCGCTCTCCAGCTGCTGCTGCTGCGACTCGAAGTGGGCGATGGCCCGGGCCACCCGCCGCGAGTCTGGGGTGGGCTGCTGCTTCTCGGGGGCAGGGGAGCCGGAGGTCGAGGATTGGGGGCGGGCCTCGGGGGATTCGGACAGGAACACAATGGAGCCGGAGCTCGAGGGGGAGCCCCTCATGGGGCTCGGGGAGGTGGGCATGGGATGGGACTGGAGAGGTCCTTGCGTCACCATGCCCTGCAGAGCCATAGCTGTCCTCTGCTCTACCAGAGCCACCATCTCCGCCACAGACAGGAGATCCATCTCGTTCAGCTCGGGGGCCTCCTGCTCCGACGAGGGCTCCTTCGCCGTCAGCTCCGAGGACCCGCCCCTCACTTTGCCCGGGGGGTCGTAGGAGGAGCAGCGCCGCCGCCTCTTGGCCTTGGAGCAGTCTGTGCCCCAGTTCCCTTTCACCTTCATGGCACTGGGCCGCGCCAGGCCCACGCCGCTGCACTGGTGGGCGACGAAGAAGGCGATCTTCTCCTTGGTGTTCCCCGGCTTGATGACATACCAGGTGTCCAGCAGCACCCGGCCCTCCTCCACCTGGGCCCCGCTGGGGGGTGGCGGGGGAGGGGCCTTGGGGGCCGGGGGCGGCGGGGGGGTGTTCTCGGAAGCCGACTCCCCCTCATCGACCTCCGTCGGTGTCCGGCCGACCAGCTCTCCGGCCGCCTTCCGCAGGGCCCCCCCGCCGGCGCCCCCTCCCCCCGCCCCGCCGCATGGCTTGTTCTGGGAGTAGGTGCCGAACGGTCGGGGGCACCAGAGGCGGATGTGGGAGAAGGTATCGGGGTCCATCATGGGCTACTGGGGAGCATGTCGTCATGCAGCTGCTCAGGGAGCCTCCCTCCTTCAAGCCACGGAGCTGCCATGCCGATCCTCGGAGCTCATCGTCGCTGCAGCCTGGGCTAGGGCGTCGGAGATCGATCCCGGCGGAGCTGACATTCAGTGCGACCTACGGAGACAGCAAAGCCACAGGATTAGACAAACACGGCAGTTCCCCTGTGGCAAGGCCCCGATGTCTTCCATAGCCATTACTGCTACATCAAGGAAACTAAAGCATGAAAAGCATTAGTCACAGATCTGTGAAAGAACAAGGGACTCCTTTCATAATCCCCATAACTCTGAAAGACCTAACTACATGGCAGCATTCTTTCGTTTGTCTGTGTTACAGGAAAACTGAAGTCAAGAAGCCAGTGGCATCCACAGATTTAAGTAACTGGATCGACATGCTTTCAGGTGGTACGGGTTGGTATCATGGTGATACATTATCTATATTTCTTTGGGATGTTTGGAAAAACCGGCCTGATGAGGACCTTGGCTAAGTGTGTGACTGAAAACCATAAAAACAAGAACAAGGTTACAAACAACGGGAAGTCAACTGATTCATCTACCTCATTTGGGTGCTACAAAACAACGCCGACTTAAGTTACATAGTGCTAAGAATCCGCAGCTGGTATTGCTACTGTGATTTTTGATCTGCACTCGGTGAGGACCACTTGAAGACTAAGGCCCTGGAATGTTACAGCTTTAGCACAGTTCTAGTTGTGTACACATATTGCTTTATACGAAACGTGTTCTTTTTTTCCAGTCTGTGAAAATTACGACCACCCTCTTTAATCATTTGGCAAAGGAACAAAAGGGTTTTGAATGAATCCTGGACCAAAATTTTTATTTATTTTGTTGTCTTTTGTTTTATAACTATTCTGATGTCTGTTTTTGCTTGTCTTGGGCTGGACTGCTGTAACACATCAATTTCCCTACGGGATTAATAAAGCATTATCTATCTATTTTATCACCTCTTTGTACATGAAACAGGTTTTGATTCTTTCTGTAAAGGTCTGTACTTGAGAACGGTGTATTAAGTGATCTATGGGTTCTATTTTTGATGACAAAACATTCATTAATAGCTTCGAGGCAATGAGACTGAGTGCACGGGCAGGTTTCTGTCCAGTTTACAACTGTTGAATACTCGAGTCAAAAGAAAGTGTCATCTACTTCCTTTTGATATTCCCAAAACAAAAACAACCCACCGAAAGAAAATCTGAAACCTCTCTGTACACCCCCATGGTAATTTACAACTAAACTGCTAAAGCAGGAGAAAGACAGTGCTCTGTGGAGGGTTGTGGAACCTTATCAAGATAATGAGAAAATCACTTCTCACTGAAATAAAAGCAAACCGATATAAAAAGCACTCCTGAAACATTAAGCACCAAGAATTTTACATTCTCGGCTCGCCTCCGTTATGCCTAGTGTTCCACCAATTCATGCCCCTATCTTTAATGGCGCCTAAATTAGTCTGATAATTACAAATATCTGTGAGCTATTTTAATAGCTGTTTTCATCTACAGTAAGCGCTGAAATTTTGCATTAGCATACATTACTGAAGGGGCATTGTAGACAGAAAGCACTTCATCATTAAGGACGATGGGGAAGCGGAGAACTCAAATATCCCAATTCCGTGCAGGGAAAAAAAAAAGATCAGAAGCACGCTGTATACGCTGTGGAGAACTTGACAGGAAATCTTAGAAATGAGGATGTCAAATCCTCTGACAGATTTGGGGAATACACACATCTGGGAAATGTTTAACTGAACAGATCCATTGTGTTTATTTGTCTTTCTCTCTTATGAGATCTGCAGCCTCCAGGAAGCTGCATGTTTCAATCAGATGTAGTCATTCATGGTAAGAGCAACTTAAAATATACAGGTGACTCAGAGAGCCCCACGCCCACCGATCCCTTCTTGTTTAATAATGCATGGCAAGAAACAAGAATTAAAAAAGCACCACACGGCAGGAATCCCTCAGATCTACACAGATGGTAGAGATACAAATAACTATGTAGTGTCAATAAAAAAACAAACTCTGAGAGGCTAGGGGCTAGGCGTTATTCCTGACCACTCAGTAAATCTGGGCGATGAGGCGGTTTTTGTGTTTGAAAGCATTCCTGCAGATTCAGGCCAGCACTAAGCTTTTTGCAATATCCTGTAAATCCAGCTCCAGCGCATTCGGTAAGGAGAGACGAAACACAGCCTTCTCTTCCTCAGGATTACACCACAGCCACGTTCTTATTCGATTCATGATCATTAACAGTAATTGCTTGCTGCCGTTTCCTGCATCAGAATGTTTAATAATGTCCCGAAAGGGAGAGAATTAGACTCATTTATTCATCGATGTCCCTAAATCCATTTCACTGTCACATCAGAACACAGGTCTTCGCCCACGGCATGCCTGTCGCTCCTTAAAACTCATCTACAGGTGGCGCAAACTCCAGTCTTGGGTGTTCATTCCTTATTTACTCTTAATCACCTTAAAGATCACCTTAAAGATCACCTTAAAGAGCTGATCGTTAAATTAACAGGACCGATTTAACACAGATTAACTACACTTCCAACTGCTGCTGCTGCTGATGATTCAATGCAATGCGATCTAGAAAACCAGCTGAATTCTGACCTTCAGAGACTGGAGGTTTGTGCTTATAGTGCCTTGCACTAGTACTCAGGCCCTTGCACAATTCTCACATTTTGCTGCTTTATAGTAGCCAGCCATGACACTGTGAAGTAGCAATTAATATCTGTTACGTACACAGCCTACTGCACACATTCAAAGCAAAAAGCAAAAAAGTAAATACATAATTTAAAGGGCGGAATGATGGCACTGTGGCTCAGGATCTGCGCCTGTGGCTGGAAGGTTGCCGGTTCAAACCTGCAGCCAGCAGAGGAATCCTACTCCACTGGGCCCCTGAGCGAGGCCCTTAACCCCAGCTGCTCCAGGGGCGCTGTACAATGGCAGACACTGTGCTCTGACCCCAAGCTTCTCTCTCCCTGTCTGTGTGTCTCATGGAGAGTAAGCTGGGGTCTGTGAAAAGACAAATTCCTAATGCAAGAAATTGTATACAGCCAATAAAGTGATCTGATCTTATCTTATAATATTAAAGACAAACATAAAAAAGTCATAAATATTCAGACCTTTTGCTGTAGCAAACCTTACTTAATGTAGATACACAAAACTGCCTTAACAAGCCACACAATTAGTGAAGTGGCCTCTTATCGGTGTGCAATAGCAGTGGTTCACATGAATGCTGAGTACCTGGATACCAGCTCACAAACTCAATTACATTTTGTTAAAAAAATCGATAATGGTCTCTTACCTAAGAGAATGCTTACTAATGAGGTTTTCTGCACCATAAAGTTATCCAGACAGAGAGATGCTTCAGCCTGAAGCTAGAGTATTCCCAGTCCAGGGAATCACGGTATTTGCCGAGATTTGTTCTAGCCGAGCTCGATCACTAAAATGGACCGCATATTTTAACTAAGATTTTTTAAACCCCCTTGACTCTATATTTTCAGTTTTGAAGCTGAAATTGAAGCTGAAAATGCAAGATTTTCAGGAGCACTGAATTGTTTTTTACAGAAAATGTCTCCCCAATCAGATATTTATAAACCTTTATTTCACCTGGTAAGTCCAATTCTTATGTAATAATGACACCCTGGAGAATACCCCTTTCTTCACTGGAGTGGCCTGAGAGATGTACCTTGCTCAATGGTACAACAGCAGTGCCTCACTTGAGATTTGAACCCATGACCTTCCTCTGGGAGGCCAGAGCTCTAGGCACTACTCCAAAGTACAATTTAATTCAATTTAGGGACCAGGACTATGGAGGGAAGCCCCAGAGTTCGAGATCACGCACCAGTGCAAGAGCAGCATGCCTTTAAGAAACAGCACATACGTCACGAGGGCTACTCATGACAATGGCCTCCTCATTCATCACACAGCTCTTTCAGGAACAAGCACCTGAATAATTTACTCCACAACAGAACAGTCAATTAAAGAATTAAGATGTTCCAGCCTTGTAACGGAGGACTGCATAGACTTCGTCCCAGCCCTCAGAAAACCTGGGCCGCCCAAAGAGATCCGAGCACGATAAGGCACCAGACAGAAGTGGTATTTCCCTGACTCTCAGTCCCAAACCGACTCTCACTACCTGTTCCTGTTAGTCAAATGCTACAGCCAAAACAATTCCAAAATTGAAAAGGCCATTTTTATAACTCTACCATGCTTTACAGCTAAATATACAGTATCTGGAAAGTCTGAGCTGCACACCACAAGACTAGAGTTCCCCAAAGAGACACCAGTGATGGGAAAGCTCACGATTCTAGACCTTCCCTATTCCAGTTCTTCCAGCTTTAGCTTTTTATGTTCAACCTCCTCCTAACTGGCATTAGAAAGACAAGACTAATTTCAGGAGATAAGGATTTTCACTGATGGAGAAGGCTTACAATTGAGCAGCTTCAGTAATTCTGAAGGAACAGGAAAAGGTTTATTCCATGCTGACAAGAAAAGAGACAGTGTAGTGTAAAAGTGAGCACGTTTAGAGGAACGCCATAGCTTACATGCTTTCACTTTTTTGCGAACGTGAAATGAAACCACTCCGCCCACATCGTGCCCAATTCCCACACGCAGATTCATTTTATGAATGTGTTCGACAGGTCAATGCAAGGAGGCAAAGCACAAGAGGCATGCAGATCCAGTCCTGCAGGGCCACAGTGTCTGTGGGTTTTTGTTCCACCTCAGACTGAAGATTTCAAACACCTTCAAGTGCCGACTTAGAGACGCAGAAGAAAGGACAATTCTGACAGGCAAGGACAGGACCTCTGCACCTACGGTCTCATGTTTAATGGAGTGCTTACTCTTCAGCTATTCTTTACTACTAATTAAAGACTCCCACATCCTCCGAATTTCATACAGGAAGGAATATATACAGGCTGACTTCATCAGCACAGCTGATGTCATTCTGCAATTCCTGCTTAGTAATACTATCAAAGTGCAGGCTCTCCTGTGTAATCTCTCTGCCAAATGGTGGAGTGTCGCAAGACATCTGTGTACTGTAGTGTTCTATATGCAGCACTGCCTGGCTTTTTCGAGAGCTGGTGTGTTGGAATTGACATGCAAAAGTAACACAACCTATCCTAAGTTTATAAATCATGCCATCATTCACAATATTACTGTAGAAGGACATAACCCAAAGTAATGTGTTGCAAATCTTCTCAAAATTAACGCTTTAGATTTCAAGCTGACAGATGGTATACAGGGAGTGATTTATTCTGAAGCAGACGGTGTGAGGAAACTCCACAGTTCAGGTGGTGGGAAACCAATGTACAGAAGGAAGTAATAAAACAACTGCATTGCATCCATGCGGCACATCCATTGCAATAACTATGATTATCCCACTAGAACTATCAAGCGGTAATTGCATCAGAAATTCAAAATGTTGTGTCTCTTTTCTTGTCAGCATGGAATAAACCTTTTCCTGTTCCTTCAGAATTACTGAAGCTGCTCAATTGTAAGCCTTCTCCATCAGTGAAAATCCTTATCTCCTGAAATTAAAAAAAAAATGCAAATTCCCAATTGAAAACAACCATTTCACTGGAAACAGGTGAGTCAAGGAATGTATAGATCATCCATTCTTTATTTGAAACCAGTTATTCTGACAGCCCAGTCCTAGCCAGAAAGCCCAGGGCACAAGACAGGATGCCAGTCCCTGGGAGGGCACACACACACACAATTTTGAGAAACCAATTAACCTCATCAACTGGGGCTCTCGAGGACTGGAGACCCCTAACGTCAAACTACCCCCCCAGCAGTTCCACCCCCGCCTTCTTTTTTTTTTACCTTGTAGCCTACAATTCATAACAAGGGGGAGTGAGAACTACACCAAAATGTTTTACAAATCTGATCATAGACCTTGGTCAAACTGAGACAATACGCTCTGCACAAGACCCTGAGTAATTCTCCCTCTCGTACAGAGCTGAGAGCCGTCAGGCTGGACCTGGGATCAGTTCCACTTTTCAGGTATTCTGGCAGCACTGACCACAGCCCGCCAGCTTTTCACTTTTTACCCACGGCCCTCTGTGCTTAGATAAGGGCAGTGGTCCTGGAGGGCCTAACCCCTGCGGGTTTTTGTTCCAGCCTGAGTTGTCAAATCCAAACATTTTCTAAGCACTTCATCCACTTCAGTGTTGCGGGGAAGCTGGATTCTATCCCCAAAACCTTCGGATGCGAGGCAGGATACACCTCGGATGGGACGCCAGTCTATCACAGGGCAGACAGACACAAACACAAACACACACACACTCATACCAAGCCCGGTTTTCCCAGTAGCCAATTAGCCCAGCAGCACTGTACAGTATGTCTTTGGGCTCTGGGAGGAAACCAGAGCACCCAGCGGGAAACCCAAGCAAACACAGGGAGAACCTACAGACTCCACACGGATAACATCCCAGGTACAGAATTAAACCCAGGGCCCCAGCGCTGTGAGGCAGAAATGCTAACCCCTGCGCCACCATGCCGCTGAGTCATCAAATAATTAACCTAATTATTTTCATTAAATACTGCGTAACAAAAGAAATGTATCACTTTAAACTAACAAAATTCACAAAGTTTCCAAGAAAATGAAGCCTCTTTTAGTAACGGGTGCACTGACATTTTGTGGAACAGATAAGACATTGGTAAAGTCACTATGCTGATTATTAGTTGTTATAAAGAGAGTGTCTACAGCAAAAGTCTCAGACTACTAGTAAAGTATGTGGCCACCTTGGAAAACAATACAAGCTTCCCAGCTATGAGATACTTTACACCAGGGTACAGATGCAGCTTGGGGGGTATTTTGTCAATTTTCTCTAGTAGAGCCTGGACAAGCATGTGCTAATTCACTGCTTGTACCATAAAATGTTATACATCATCCCACTGCGACCCCCAAGACTTAAAAGGGCACCAGGCTTGAAATTCAACAGGTCAAATCTGGTCATCGCCTGTAACCAATGCTCTCTCTACTGCGGTTTAGTGCTTACACGGCAGTCAAAATCCCTCATGTAGATCACAGTCGGTCGGGAATGGTCAATTAAACAAAATACTGCCAAAAAACATTTCATATCCAAAATCTGTACAACTTTCCTACAGAAACACAGAGTAACAAGTTTCTTTTCATGCTCAGTTTAAAAGGAGGAATTTACTTAAGGTCTTTTACAGTGGATTGCTCCAAATATTCTGGATATTAAAGGAACTGTGCAGTGACCTGTACACCTCCTCAGTGCCTCGTCAGAGGTATGACAATCATGAGAAATGATTAGATCAACAATGCAACAGAGCTCAGGTGATCCCAGAGGCCCTTCAGACACAAAGTCCCCCAGGAAGAGAGTTTGAGACCTCTGGATTAGGCCTCTTTGATTCTGACTCTACTAAAGCTACTGTGTAAAACCCTTCTTCTCATTCCTAACAAGCTCAGTGCTACTTCAGTGAACCAATTACTGATTATTAACCTAGACAAGACAACCATGATCTCTATTCCCTGATTGAAACCCCAGGACAAACTCAATTGCTAGGTGCTCACTAGGACTTCAGTGGGAATCACCTTGTCCCAAGTCATCGAACAGACCTCTGAGCAAAGAAGTAACCGCGTTTGGAAAGTGTGCGTTATCAGAACTTCTCATTTAAAATGTTTCTGAGCAGCATTTCAGTCTCCAGCGCCGGAGTTAAGTCACAACATGTTAACAGAAACTTATGTCTCTTATAACTTGGCCAAAGTCCATGCTGTACACCGCCGACAACAATATGGGCCACAAATAACACTGTTGCCAATACAAGCCCAAACGAGTACAGCACTGAGACCGACAAACACCCTGCTTCAGCGTGGTCACCAAATAGTAGTATTTTTCTAAAGGTACAGAGTCATCAACACTTCATCTGAAGTTATGGCTAAAAAAGAATATTCATTTTCAGGCCGGAGTTTCCTTCCACAAGAGAATCAGATGCGTGTGTAACCGAAGTTAAACAGAAACCCCACACACATGCAGCTCACATCATTTTGGGGAACAAGGACAAACGACACTGTTGGGAGCACTTCCTCAAACCTGAGCCACCAACTTCTCCGAAAAGGGGAAGAGCCTTGCAGTAAACAAAATATAGTTTACCATGTATAACGCTGCTAGGATTCCGCAAAGGCATGTATTTAATCTTAAATCACCGATGATCAGCACACAAGAGGGTCTCAATACTCTCATTGTGGGTACAGTCAGATACAGAGTGCCTTGTTGTATCAGTCGTTCACTACGGGACTCCAAAACTCGACTAAAATACCTTTCCCTTAGATACAAGTCCCCATCTGACGATATCGATCCGTGACACATACATTGATTTAATGACAGGACATTCTCGCTGTCAGCTAATGTATTTTTAACTCTCAGAAAACGTCAAAATGCCTTCCGTTTTCCTTCCTGTTATGATCCATTTCTATCGATCTCATGACGGCTGTGTGGATACAGTACTTTCGATTTTGCAAAAGGTATCGGATTTTTTTGTTAAGTTTTGCACCATATTGTATCAACTCGTCACACAGCAACCCGGAACATGACAAGCAATATCGGCCATAGCAATTTCACCTAAGGGCTATAATATATTTAAAAAGCTGTGTATTCAACTGTTGTTTTATTCGATTAAAAAAAGACACAAGTAACGCTCGAGCGGGGCTTATTTTTAAAAGAGAGCTAACAAATTTGAGAACAGATCATCCGTTGCTACACCAATGAATCTAACTGTTTCAAAATACGAAAAAACACAAATGATCGCCTTAAAAAAAAAATTCTCTCCCCAGTCTTACCTCGGCAATATGTATTCCCGGATTAGCCCGCTGCCCGGGCAGATCTTCCAACCGCGACGGAGAGTCTTTCTCCCGGTGAAGCGATAAATCCAACCCCCTGCTTCGGCCTGCTCTCTCTCACCACAACAAACTGCAAAGCAAATAAGATCGAGGTGAGGTAGGTCTGTGTGCGTGTGTGTTGGAACGGGGGGGGGGTCCTTCACAAGGCAGAAGTAAGATGTGTAAATATGGACTTATTTGATGTCCCCCCCCCACTTGTATCTTCGTTAATTCAATTCAAAGGAGCCCGCTGCCATCCCCGGTACCGTAGGTCTTCGTCCGCGTTTTTGGAACCGCACGTATGGAACGGCAGCAGGACCGTTCCCCTAGTCTTGTACAGTAACGTACAGGGCCTCTACTATGGAGGGTTGCGATAATCAAAATAATCGAGCAGCCACAGCGTAGAGGAAGGCCATGTTGTTGACAGGCAGCACCACAGGGCCAGCAGCCAATAGCAGAGCAGAGTCGACGGCGTGCCCATATATGGCAGCAGCCGAGACCCCCCCCCCCCCCCCCTCCCCCGTGCAACCTAGGGTGTCTTGCAGACGGTCAGCTGAACGTGCTGTTGTGCAAATCGTTCCAAAAATATATGCACTAGCATAACCTTTAAACGTTTCTAACAACTGAAAGGCGCACCCCACACCACATTAAGTGGTGCACAGCAGCTCACTGGCGGTGCCGCACAACGACCCACCGTTACCGACACGGAAGAAAATTGTGTGCCTTTGTGAGATGCGCCCGTTTCCATTTTGTGATATGGTTGTGCGGCTGGGAGGCAGGCTCTCTCTTGAGTCGTGCGTGTGGTTCTTGGGCACTTGGCAGGGTCCCACTGTCAGCCACGACCCCGGGGAAGGTGTTCCTCCAAAGTTACCTGGATCCAAGGCGCGTTTGGGTGAAATACAATATAGGAGGGCTGAGGTCCCACTGCCTGTGTCTTAGTGAGGCAACCCTAGATAAGATAAGATCACTTTATTGGCCATATACAATTTCTTGTATGAGGAATTTGTCTTTTCGCAGACCCCAGCTTGCTCTCCATGAGACACACAGACAGGGAGAGAAGCTTTGGGTCAGAGTGCAGGGTCAGCCATTTATACAGCACCCCTGGAGCAGCTGGGGTTAAGGGCCTTGCTCAGGGGCCCAACAGAGTAGGGTTCCTCTGCCGGCCACAGGATTTGAACCAGCAACCTTCCAGCCATGGGCACAGGCACAGATCCTCAGCCTCAGCCCCCTATAAAGCACTTGAGGATACTGGGGGATTGAACCAGGACCACATACAGGACATGCGAAGCATGCATTCTACCACTGAGCTACCACTGAGCACTTCCAGCCTTCTAGACAAGAGACTAATCTGTTCATTTCATATGGGAAACACATATGAAATGAACACACACCTGAAGAAGGCTCCACGGCCGAAACGTTGTGTTCTCTTTCTTCTTTTTTTCAGCATGGAATAAACCTATTACTTGTTCCTGTTCATTTCATAGTTTGCCTGCAGAACAGCTTCCTAATTCCCTGTGCAGGTTAGATTTCTGGTCGGTGTACTTACAACACTAATACCACACTGGCAATGTTGCCTTTATCTGATATGTGGATCTGCTCTAATAGAAAAGCATTCCTCAGATGAACAATTATATTATCTGTATGAAAATATTCTGCTGTTCCTTCCCAGAGTTCCAAGCAGGATAGCCTATAGTCGAGCTGAAGCTCTGCTGTCTGTTTTGGCCAGAGATGGAGGTACAGTACTGCAGATCTTCATTCCACGCTGACAAGCAGACAGGAGAAACAACATTTCAGCTGCGGAGCCATCTTCAGAGCTCCGTGAAGTTGCACCCCCTACAGACAGCACAAACGATGAAACCCACCTCATTCGTTAGAGCTACGTTTGTGCCGGTTTGTGCCATTGAAAGTAACTTCCCAGCTTCTTTCTTTCCCGAGATATAGCACCTTCTTTTTTGGGGGTGTGATGTCACTCAGCCCCCCTACAACTGATCAAAGGATCACAATTGAAAGATCTGGTGGTCGTGAACTTGCTGTTTTTGTATGGTGCCAACCGCACAGAGTGACGTCACGGCCAGAAAAAAGAAGGCGCTATATTGAAATGTAAAACATCCACCCCCACCCGACCAGACAGACTCGGAAAACAAATTGCATCCATTGTTTTCATCACATCCAGTAATTTAAGTACCGATTTAGTTGGTACCTGTAAATGTCCTTGTGGATAGTCACGATAGTAGATTACCCGATAAAACAGGGCGCTATATCTCGGAAACAAAAGCAGCACAAACGCAGCACTAACAATTGCAGTGGGTTTCATCGTTTGTGCTGTTTCTGAGGTAGAGGGGGACTTCATGGACCTGGACAAGCAAATATGTCCTGGGTCATTACATTGCAGACTGCAGAAGACACGACTTCACCTGGGAGAAATCCGACGATCTAACAAAGGCAGGGTGGCTAAGGATCTGTGCCTGTGACTGGAAGGTTGCTGGTTCAAATCCCGCAGCTGGCAGAGGAATCCTACTCCGTTGGGCCCCTGAGCAAGACCCTTCACCCCAACTGCTCCAGGTGTGCCGTACAATGGCTGACCCTGCGCTCTGACCCCAGGCTCTCTCCCTGTCTGTGTGTCTGTGTCTCATGGAGAGCAAGCTGGGGTCTGTGAAAAGATCATTCCTAATGCATGAAATTGTAAAGGGTTAATAAAGTGATGTTATTATTATTATGATGATGATGATATCTGTGTCTTCAGAGGTCAAGGCGTGCCCTCATGCTGTATTCTACACCAAGGGCTGACCAGGAACACACAGATAAAAGGACTGTGAGCTCATCGTTTCATGTTTGCGCATAAGACCCCTGTAAATACAAACACGTGGATAACGCCAGTTTTTCAGAGAACCTAGACATATTTTCACTTCTGTTCTGTGAAAATAAGAATATTTTGCAGTATTACCGCGGTCTGCATGTGTGAGACGGTAGACTCTTGTTTCTCGCATGTGTTATGAACTGTGTAAACTTTGTACATAGTGCCCCCTTAATAAAGTCCTGAATTACTGGTTCCCTTTCACTTTGGCGAATGTGCATGTGCTTTGAATAAAAAAAAGCATCAATGGTTCAGAAAGTTGCAAAGTCAAGTCTTTTAAAATACGTGGCTCGACAGACAGGTCGAATCTTCACACGTCCCTTGACGCCTGTGTTTATGTGAGAAGGAGACAATGCGAAACCTTTTACTTCTTCAGATTTCTAAAAAAGGACACTGCTATGACGTACAGTACGTGTTCATTAAAGCCTCTTTGTAAGAGCATACAATTGTTTTCTAATGTTCACTTTTTAAGGCTTCACCCTCAGCTCTTCTGATTCGGGTACGATATTGGAACCGAAATTAATTAATTAATTTTCCTGTTCACACAAACGCGTAGGAGATAATTATATTAAACGCAAACTCCACCGCTGCACCTTCACCAGGGCAAACAGAGGAACAGACTTGCAGAACTGTTCCTCTCGCGCCGGTAACAGAGCGCTTGAACTCGGCAGACGGGGTCACTGGAGGTCAAACGCGCCGTGCATGGTCACGTGATCACCGGTAAACAAGGCGCTATATCTCGGGACACAAACAGTACTTTCAACGGCACAAACCGGCACAAACGATTGAGGTGGGTTTCATCGATTGTGCCGTCTGTAGGGGGGCCAGCTTCACGGAGCTCATCTTCAGGTGTCACACCTGGAGTGATCTGGCTGTATCAGGTAGAGAGTGAGTTGAGCTGAGCTGCATTTGATCTGTCCCAGTAGCTGCGCTTTTCAAAGAGTGATTTTGATTGAAAGTAAATGTTCTGTGTTAAAGATCTAGAGGTCAAACCACCAGTTGCCTTTCTGCTTTCCTGCATTGGTGTTGATTAGACAGTGGTGGATGCCTGGTGTGCTGTATATCTTACTCAAAGTGCCAGGTGCAGGGAGCCACCCCAGGTTACATTACAGACACACTCTACTGCATTTGACACTAAGTCCTGTAAAGGATCAAGCACAACAAGGCCCCTCAAACCTGTGGTTTTCAATGTGTGCAACATAGGGAGCAATGTGGAACATGTCTTCTTGATGTAAATACTGTAACGCTTACGGCTGACAGGCACTGTGTAAGAGCCGGCGTACCAGAGCAGGCGACGTCACCGCCCTTCCCTGTGATAGCAGGACTACAGCTACTGGGCTGTAGGGAGATCTCTCTTTGGCTCACCAGGCTGGGTCCCTGCTGAGCGACGCGGGAGTCCAGGGTTCGAGCCCCCGATGGTGGGGGGCTGACCTAATGCAGTAAGGGCGCCTGCCTGAACCCCTGTTGTGTTACAATACATTAATTTACATCTGTGAAAACTGTTACAGAACCCACCTCCTCTTTTTCAAATAGCAAAGGTACTGGAAGTGGAACTACAGGACTTAAGACAGCAATGTGGCTTGTGCCTAGTCAGTACGGAGGTGGCCCACGGGCCCAGTAAGGTGACTGGAGATAGAACGATCTTAAAAATAGTGCTGCGTATCGGGCGAGTTTGAACGGGTTTTGGGGAGAAAGGAGTGCAGATAGTTGATTTTAATGCTGGGGTATTCAGTGCGGATGAGGTAATCCTCCTGTGCGTTTCCTGGCATTAACTGGATAAACAGAATTTTTTTTTTCGCATCCTGTGTTTTATTGGTGGTATTTTTCCATGGTTTAAAACTGAAAACAAGAAGTTTATTATTTGAGCATATTTTAAAGATAGTATGTTATCCTCGTTGTACTATAACCTTATGTATACATTTATTTTAGAAAATAGTTTTTTTTACATTAAGAAGTGAGCTTAGCAGTCGTATCTTCCTGCAGCTACAGCAGGTGTGAGCCTGGCCAGTACCTGGAGGGGAGACCTCCTGGAAAAGCTGAGGCTGCTGCTGGAAGAGGTGTTAGTGGGACCAGCAGGGGGCGCTCACCCTGTGGTCTGTGTGGGTCCTAATATAGTGGCAGGGACAGTGTAGTGGGTGCCATCTTTTGGATGAGGCGTTAAACTGAGGTCCTGACTGTCAGTGGTCATTAAAGATCCCCGGGCATTTCTCGATAAGAGTAGGGAGTTATCCCAGTGTCCGGGCCAAATTTCCCCCTTCAACCTTTACTGTGGCCATCACATTGTCCCCGTGTATGATTGGCTTGCACTTGCCCTGCGATGGACTGGCGCCCCCTCCAGGGCGTACCCTGCCTTGCGCCCGTTGCATGCCGGTAGGCTCCGGCTTCCGTATGGTATAAAGCCGTTTGGCAAATGACATGACATGATTAAGAAGTCGGCTAAAATCGTGAGTACACGGAGTCTGCAGTAGCAAAACATTTCTTAATACGCGACTTGCGAGGGATGTCAGACAACTGTCTTTGCCTAGAGTACAAAATATATATTTCAAGATAAATGTGGTTTAACTGAATTATTTCACATCGCTTTTCGGGTTTTAACATTAAATATCTAATCGATTTAAAAAAAAACATTCAGATATAATTTCTAAATTGTATCTGTATTTCCCACACACATTTAGGACATTGAGTTTGGGAGCTAAATTTCAGAAACAAAACTACAGAATTTACAAAAACAAATGCTATAAAATTAAAGAGAGACGGCAGTCGTTACGGGCCATAAATATCGTTTCAATCAATTCAGCGAAGCGTTTGTGAATTTCTCCTCATTGCCTAAATACCGCATCCGTGACGCTCCGAAGAATGTAACTCGGTAGGAAAAGAGCCACCTTCGTCTGTACGATAGGTCTGCCCATACTTAGTCTTCCAACTATATCATCGAAAGTAGTCACTTTCAAAGCTCAATACGATTTTGTCGAGATTTAAAACACGATTGCAAGCGAAGACTGTTGTATCGTCGCTTTCAGCCTATACCTGCTTGAACGCCTACAGCGCGCCAGTCGCACGGTCTTCAGAACAAAAACACAGATTTGAACCCAAGACACAGTGCTCACATGCTTCGAATGAGTAAAAAAAAAACAATGACTAATTTTAAACAGGTTTGTAGCCTTACGTGAAGTTGGTAAAAATAGAATGGACACAGGTGATGTTCGAGGAGTGGCGCAGATTTGAATTTAAGAAGACTGCGGCGACAATGAAGCGACCGAGGCCGTTTATAAAAATAGTTGCCTGTTTCTTGGGAGGTGATTGTAGGAAAGAGGGAAATCCAGATCTGTCTCCACAAGCAATTATAAAGTTGTTTATTGTTAAATTCTTCCGGGCATTTTAAACGATTGTGTATTATAATAAGCTTATTACATGAAACCGAGGAAGTTTTATCTTCAGAATTATGAGCAATTTCAATTCATGAGTCACGGTATCAGATGGTTAACTCAAGTCATTTTCCCTCTGCCTGTTTCAGGAAAGAGTTTCATATAGAACAGACCCTGGCAAATCCACACATTTCTGCCTCTGTTCTCATCTCCCCACAAAGCGCTCGTCACGGGGAAGGTGCCCCAGTATCCAGACCTCCTTCCACACTGTGCCGCAGGTCAGCATCCCGGGACGTGTTGATCCAGTGGGACGGGGGACGGCCCCTTGTAGGGGGGGGGGCGGCCCTGGCTTGGGCTGTGAGGTCTGTGGAGGTCAGGCCACCAGGTGGCACTGCTGTTGTCACGACGGGCTTGAGAGGCTCCTAGCAGCGCACACACTGCACCCCAGCTGCAGGAGACCTCCTCCTGCAGACCTTGAAATAACACAAAGTCACAAAGTCTGGCTAGACCCAGGCAGGTGGCTGGGGAAAAGTAACAGATTCTGAACTTTGGCCGCAGGTGCAAGTCGTTTATTGTGGGCAACTGCTCCCCTTTTTTTTTTTTTCCCCTCTGGGTTTGACCCCAGCCTTGGGCATCCGTCTGGTGGGAGTCTGCATTTCCCCGTGTCCTCCCTGTTCACAGCTCCGCTGGAAGTGTGCGGTCTAGACAGTCTGGGGTGCTTTATCCTCTCGCCCCGTGCGCTGAGCTGTCTCAGCAGACACTCCCAGAGGCCGGGTGCTCGTCTGGAGAACCCCCCGTCCCCGTCCTCGGCCCAACTCAGGCTTCTCCCCGCTACCTGCCTGTGGGGTAAAAAGCGAGAAAGGCAATCCTGATCAGAATGCAGACTGGGACTGCTTTACCTCCTGCTAAAAACCTACCAGACGACCAGCAAATCCACTGAAACCTGCCCTTAGAAAGTCTGAGGCACCTCACCGCCTGTCACAGATTCACTCAGGGTGTAGCCAGTGCCTGATGACACTGCGTACACCCCGAGTGCTTCATCATAGGCACTCTTGTGTCTTTATACAGCAGATCCAATGAAAAAACAAAGGGTGGAGCTCTGGTACTGTACATTGTTTTCTACAAGGTGAATGTCGAATGCCATTTCCAGAGATAACAGGTGGTTATTAAAACATGCATTAAATGACAGTCCGGCAGAATTTTTCTCCATCAGTTATCTACATGAATTACAAATAACCTTGTCTGTTATTCGTGTTTACGTGTCAGACATCTGCAGGTGTGACACTTTATCACCTCATTTGGTGTTGTAGCATTAGAAGCTCAAAATAACGTTATTTAGCTGTCGTACACTTACGCTGTCGAAAAGATACAAACATTCTTGAGACAGTCTTGCATTTGCTCAGCGCCCCAGTCTATAAAAAGCCTCGCGATAGACTGCGACGAGTCAGTGACCACTGGACATGGAGCCTCAGAGCGGCGCCACCAACTTCAACCCCTGGCGCGACTACCTGCAGCTGAAAAGCACGCTCCTGCAGGAAGCGCCGGGGTCCCGCGCTTCCTCGGCCCGCTCGGCGGCGGGGGCAGGCTGGCACGAGCTGGCACCGCCGGGCCTCGGCGCCAAGCCTCGCGGCCCCGGAACCGCTTCCACTTCCGCTTCCGGTCCCGGTCCCGGTCCCAAGCAGACCTCGAACGGCGTCGGCTGCACCTTCTGCAGGAAAAACGAAGAGGCGCCGGCGGTGTACACCTCGCACCTCCTGAAGAGGAAGGACGGGACGGTCTCCTGCCCGATTCTGAGGAAGTACACGTGTCCGCTGTGCGGGGCGACCGGCGACCGGGCGCATACAGTCAACTACTGCCCACGGCGCGGTGTACCGAGCGCCACCGGCACGGCAGCCCCGCGCTGAGCCTCGCGCTGAGCCCGATTCGGGACCGGAAGCGCGTGTAACGCGTCACCTCAAGACCTGTGAAGGTGTGTCCTGCGAGGTTCACTGACGTCTTCGATAATTATATTATTCGACAAAAAATCACCTTAACACGAAAGACCCGTGTGTTTATATGTTTCGATGTGTTTTCCTTTAAATTTGTTTACCAGTGTTTTGTAAAATTGTTTCTTTTTCACCGTGATTGTCTGTAGTACTTGCACCATGTCTGAAAGGATATTGCTATTTGTATATGCTTTTGTATCGAGAAGCTTTTTGTTTCTGATTTAACAAATGAATGTAACTAATGGGATTCGAAAGGTTTATCTGAAGGTTTTTGAATATTCCTTGTAAAGTTCTTTATCAAGACATTTATTCCTGATAAACGTATTTATTTCTTATAAAGACATTTAAGATGTCTTTATGAAAATTTAGTTGTATGGTCCTTTCCAATGTTTTGAATGTCCATTTTTTGCCCCGAACCTTTCGAAACATATTTATTAGAGAATTATTTTATTGTGTACATTTGAGTTTTATTTCATTTTCAGGCTACCCACAATATGTTTGAAATATTAATAATCAATATTATTTACAACCTACAATTGCAGTGATAGATTTTTCCAGTGCACATAAGATTCAAAGATTGATTTCTTGATTGCAGCACACATTGTGATACTTTAACTTGTTCGTATCAAAGTGTTGAGTAAAATTACACTTGACCTACAATCTGTGAAGTTAGTGAAGTAACAGATCTCGCTGTATAAAAATACTAAAACCCCATTAAAAAGAGTTACATAATTAAGGTTAAGGTCTCGTCTTTTCTGCTTTGAAATAATGTGTCCGAAGTTTAAATGATTGTTTTAATAAGTTGAACAGTACATCAGAAAAACGTAATTTTTAGCACTTCTCTTTGCGCGTCCAGCCTGGTCTCAAAACCTGTCCAAGTATTGGCAAAAATGCAAACTTTCAGTGATTAAGGAGATTTGTGTTGTCTATTACGCTCCGTTTATAATGTTTTACAAGCTACACTTGAGTACAGTTCTGCATCCGCTATTTTGCAAACGTGATTTTCACACACTCGTTTTAAAAACCCAATTCCATTAGTGTGTACTGAGCTCGTGTTGATATCGATTACGCAACCAATATGCACCGCCCCCTCTCGACAACTATAGGCCATTATCCATCCTTCTCATTGGTTTTGCAGATCTGCCAATCACCTCCTTAATACCATGACAACAAGGCAAGCTCTGTGTACCGCGACATGTTAGTCATCCCTCTTCCGGTGTATCTCTATTGGCTGAAAGCAGCATCTATCCACTCTGTTAAGGCGGAACCGCTCTGAAGGCGCTGTTTCCGGTATGGTGGTATTGCAAAACGCTGGTGGTCATAACTGAAGGGCAAGAGTGTGAATTTGTAATGGATTGTTTTTGAAGTAGTACACCTACATTAAAGTCGGCTTTCAAATTACAGAAGAAAAAGTAGCTACCGATTTTTCTATTTCAAGTTGAAGCGCAGGAATTCACCAAATTTGGTAAGTTATGAGTACCGTAATATTTGACATTACAGACAAGTTGTTCAGCTACTCCAGTGGTTCTTAACCTTTACTGCAGTCTGCACCCCTCGGGGTCTCAACATGTTCTCGCACCCCCGCAGACGTCTTTTGTGTTTTCGGTGTTTTACTTTCTAAAAAAAAATGACATTTCTTGCACTCCTGTTTATGAACTGCGGGTATATCCTTTAAGCGGTGGCGTTTTAGTTACGCTCTTGTCATGCGTGCGAAGAGGCGAGCTGGTAGAAGTGTTGGGTTTCTGAATTGAAAACCGCTCGGTGGAGTGAACAGGGAGGACAGTTTTTCAGAACCTGTTAGCAACGTGCAAGATTAGACTGACATTAGCTAGCGGGGCAGTGGTGATTGATATTTGACTGGGACGTGCTGTACATCATTTTCCTCTGTGTTTATTGGGTAATCGGGGAACGTTAAAGACAGGCAGGGTACACACCAGCTGCGGTGTACGTGTAGTGTACTACATGTGCTAGCCTCAAGCCTGTTACAGAGCTTACATAACCGGATATTTTCCAGTTGTCTAGTTCCAGACAAGTCGAACATATGAAAGATTACAAATGAGAGCACGATTCTAACTCATCCGGTTTGCTAATTTGATCAGACGGATCTCAACATGTGCATCAGGAGCTGGGCGGCTTATGTAAGGGAGTAGGCTTCTCTTGTAGAAATGTGTTCATATCGCAACAAATGTCATTGAAACCAATTTGTTGGAATTTTCATGCTTCTCTGTATCTTTTTAGAATTCAATTTATTGTTGTAGATAGTGGCAGTCCAGCTGTTTTCTGAACGACCATGTGACTGGTAGTGTCATGTGAGGATAAATTATATAAATTGTGCTTTATTCAATACCTGAAACTGCTGTTGTTTTTCTTACTAATTTATTTCGCTGATGCTTTTTATCCAAAATGACTATAGCACCCCTTTATGCAGCTGGCTGTTTTACTGGAGCTTCTCAGGTGCTCAGATCATCTGGCTCACTGGTACAGCAGCAGACGCTCTCCTGGGATTTGAACCCACAACCTTCCAGTTACAAGCCCAGAAGCCCGACTGCAGCTCCGTGCTGTGGCCCACCCAGGGTGCTCCACGGAGCCTTGCTTTTCAAAGGGCTCCCGTTGACCAAAATCTGGGCAGCACAGGGCGGCACAGTTGATGCGATGCCAGTCCAAGGCGGAATCTGAAATAAAAATAATGTTGGTGTGTAGTCTGAATGATTAAAGGCAGAACTGCAGGTCACACGTGCTCCTTGGCTCGCGACACGTACACTGTGTTCCAAGTGTTGATTACACACGCTACTAGTCTTGGATCAACTTCCGGTTGATCTCCGACTCCCAGTCTAAAACCCCCGCCTGATACTAAGGGTGCTGTCCAGTCTGTGGCTCCGAGGGCACTTCAACACCAGTGATGCGAACGTCAGCGCTTGGGTCCGAATCCCAGGCTGGGCTGCGAGGGTGCACGAGGACCTGTCCCCAGCTTTCTGTGCACGAGAATGTTCTTATTCCCCACCTCCCAGAGAGACAGAGGTGTGACCCCAGTGTTGTGTTTCCTTGATGGGCTTTGTTAGCCTGCAGTCCTCATGCTACCTTTATCTAGGGAAAATAATAATAATCCTTACACTTATATAGTGCTTTTCTGGACACTCCCCTCCACCACCCCCAGTGTGTACCCCCACCTGGATGATGAGAGGGCAGCCAGAGTGCACCAGTACTCTCCCCACACACCAGCTCTTGGTGGGGAGGAGAGCAGAATGATGAAGCCAGTTCATAGAGGGGGATTATTAGGAGGCCATGACTGGTAAGGGCCAATGGGAAATCTGGCCAGGATGTAGGGGTAAGACCCCTACTCTTTTCAAGAAACGCCCTGGGATTTTTAATGACCACAGAGAGTCAGGACCTCGGTTTTACGTCTCATCCAAGGGATGGCAACATTTTACAGTACAGTGTCCTGAACTGGGGTCGCTGTGTTCTGTGACGCAGGGGCCTGACGATGTGGGGAGAGGCGAAGCAGGTGCTCTGCGGCGTGGGCCGGGTGGGCGCGGCCTTCGCCGAGACCCAGGCCGAGCAGCTCTGGCTCCTGGCCAGCAACAGCAGCCTCACCGCTGGGCTGAAGAGAGTGCAGAACTGCGCGGAGGACGGCCTGCGCAGCCTGCTGGCGGCCAGAGGGGTAAGCACAGCCCAGCACGTGCACAGGGACGCAGTTCAAACTGAGTATTCCTCTATCCTGTCCTCTTTTCGGTCAGCATGGGGCAGGCTGAGTTTTCTTCAGGGCTTAGTTTTCACATGACAGCCTTCCTTAAAGATCAGGCAAGTTGGGCTGAATGGCCTCTCATCTGTGAACCACTCCTCACGCTTTGGGACATCTCAGTGGCGTGTGCATTTTGAAGCACTTTAAATTAACGGGGCTTCGAGTGTCAGGTGTGACGGGGAATGTTCTGGTCACTCTTGTTTTGTGTGCAATTGTTCCCCTTTCAGTAGGTAGTACCCTGAAGGGAAAGAAAGCACACATCCAAAAATCATGGAGGTGCTGTCCAGAGAAATGCAACTGAGACACTTACACTCTGCACTCCAAAATATCTTTTGTTTTACAATATTGACTGTTTATTTCTGTATATAAAACAGAGTATGCGCCCAGCAGACTCTACTTTTTATAGTGCCCCAGTCTGAAACAGAACTGTAGATGTGCTGTTTTGGTAAAGTGCTGACGTCTCCTTGCTCTGCTCTTCCCCACCCCAGACAGGGAGAGTGGATTTCCCAGAAGCCTCCGGGTGGGGGGAGGAAGAGGAGCTGGCCAAGTGGGCGGTGGGCTCTGAGATGGCCCCCGAGGTCGAAGGGCCCGAGCCCCAGAGCTCTCCCCTGCAGCGGCCGGCTTCCCAGCACCTCTCCCAGCAGGCGGCCGGCCTGGGAGGACCGGGTCAGACTCGGCACCTCCACCAGGACTCGGCGCTGGGCCGACTGACCGCCGAAGACATCAGGAAAGCCAGGGAGGCCAAGCGGCCAATTGAGAGAGGTGGCTCTTCAAAACCGGCTCGGCAGAAAGTGAGGAGCTGCACCCGAGGGGACCCTAAAGGCCTGTTGCTTACTGGGGGGAGGTGGGGGGGGGGGGCTGCCCTGGTTCTGAATATCACAGGACAGAGCTGAGCTGTATCAGTGCCGTGTGTTCCTGTGCAGTCAGCTTTGGGAATCTGTTTTATTAGGAAGTAATTAGCATGGGAATTTAGGCTCATAGCAGTAATAGAGGCATTTACAGAAAGTCAGGAAAGCAAGATCCAGAAAGAAGCCCTTTAACCAACATCTTGAAAATCTGTTTTCTAAGTACATGTAATTCTGGATGAACATTTTTTCATTTTTCTGTTTTTGTTTTCTCATTTTTTAAATTGAAAAATACCCCCTGCCTTTGACGGCCCTGTTCTCCGATCTCTCTCAGCTGAGCGACCGAGCCAAGGAGAGGAGCGTCCCTGCGACGAGATTCAGTCGGCTCGCTAACTTTGGGGGTAGGTGCACAATGCGGGGTCCCACAGAAACTACAGTCCAAAGGAGTGGCTGTTGCACTCTGTAACATGTTTTCTGAGATTTTTCATATTTTTCAATACTCCGTGCATTAGGGAAAAAAAACACATTCACATCTCTGACAGATAAGATTGTTGCTGCGCAACATGTGGGCAAAAGTATATCTTCACTTCCACCACCATCTCAGATACACTCACTTTCCACGATATTGGGAACATACTGTCAAATGCATAAGCTTCCTGGCTTCCTGGAAAGTACAGTTCAATCCAAGTAATTATCCCTCACAAACCGAGGGCTTAAAATCCTTCATGTTGTAGAACCCATGCTCGCATCCTGTTCAGACTGTTCTTGAAACCACTGCATTTCTCATACAGTTGGGATTCATAATATTTTAGTTATGATGTAATCTGAAATCGCACTAAGGCTCTCGAGTCGTATCTGGCCCAGTAGTGGTAGACTAATGACTAATGTGTAGCCACCATAAAGAAGCTGTTGAGCACAGCATTTTTTTTAACAGTGGGGGGGTTCCTAAAATTTTGGCCAGTGCACCTAGTTCTGGAGTAAATCATTGTCCAGGGAGTGGAATTGCCTACATTATATCCTGAGAAGAAGATCCTAGAAAGCAGGTTTAAAAGACCTTGGATGATCAGCTCTAGGAGTGTTGACTGGAACACCTTCCAAGTGATCTGTTCCCCAGCACAACCTCACAGGGATTGTGAACTCGGCTTGCTTTGTTGGAGCCATAGGCTACATTTTTATCTTTCTTTTTTGCGGACTTGGGGTCACGAGGTCATGATATTCTAAAGAACCGTATACCTGCTATATAAATGCAGATGGAACATTGCCTGGAAAAGGATGCCTTTTGATTTAAATGCACTAGGTGGCGCTGCTTTGCAATAAGTGATTTTGTTTGCCCAGCAGTCGTGTTGTTTTTCCACTTTCCCACACGTAGGCCTGGCTGTCGCCCTGGGTCTTGGTGCAATAGCTGAGGTCACCAAGCAGTCTCTGGGAGGGAAGCAGACACAGGCCAGTAAGTAGCCATCCGAGAGAAAGTGAAGAAAAAACAGAGAGTGTAGCGCTTTGCGAAATGAAGAAATCAAAACGAGGAGAGATTGGATAAGTGGTCTAAATTTAAAAAATGCCACATGATTGGCTCATAAAACTACAGTTGTGCTTGATTGGTGAAACTTTTTGATTGTTTCCCAGACACTTGCCTGTGGCCTAACACGTGCCAGTGTTAATGCAGAGCACATGCAGGGATGGCTAGATAAAGTTACATGGGGTGGGTTTGCTTGTCTTATAACGGTGCAATATGTTCTGTCCCTCGAGATGGCCGGGCTCTCCTGGACTCGCCCTTCCTGTCCGAATCCAACGCCGAAAGAATTGTGGACACGCTGTGCAAAGTTCGGGGAGCCGCGCTGAAAATCGGACAGATGCTCAGCATTCAAGGTACTGTGTTCGTGGCACTAATTAGTTAATTGAACCAGGCGCTTGCGTGTATGAGAGCTTTGCTCTCTTTGGTTTGTGAGCCTGTGCAGTTGTGATCTTGTATAAGGTGTCATCTCTCTTATCACCCATTTGCCGTGGGATGCTGTCACATCATGTGTTTAGCAGTGGGGAGAGTGTGAACATTAAAAGCAGCTGGAAGGGGGTGGGTGGGTGTTGCTGGATCTCCGAGTTTCTCCTCTGAATTTAAGCTCTCTGTGAGCGGCTTTGTTTTAGCCACTTAGCTAGTGATTTCTTCAAATAAGAAGCTTTTGATTTCACTTGAAATAAAGACTCCAACACCCTGTTGCTCTCAATGACCATTTCTGTTGTATTTAATTCAATAAATGCATCAAAGCTTTTACAAGTGCATGATTTAAGGGTACCTTTTGAGACCTTTTAAGTGCTTCAGGAGCCAAAGTTGGTCACCATTTTAGCTTTTTAAATCTTCTATTACTCAACCTGAATAATGGAGCAATGCTGATATGTTTTCAGACAAGGTACAGTGTTAGATGTTTCCATACAATCCACCAAGTAGATCTATTGTGCGTTTTTGTGAACTCGTGTGAAAAAGATCTAACAAACGCAGGCGTCGCTCTCCAGGAACATGAAGCAGAACATGAGTCTGTCCGTGAATGAGCTTTTCAGAAGACGCTGTCTTTTTTTCATCCTTATTGTCCAGACAGCAGTTTCATCAACCCGCAGCTCCAGAAGATTTTTGAGAGGGTCAGGCAGAGCGCAGACTTCATGCCAGCCTGGCAAATGACGGTAAGATTTCTGATTTTAGTACATTTGGGAGGTGAAATCTGTTTGATGTCATTCTTATCATTATCCTCACAGTATACACGTACAAAGACTCCAGAGGTCTCCAGGCCAGCTCCAGTGAGGCCAGCAGAGCAAAGACTGTTGGGTCTGAGCTCCTTCCTTGACTGCTGAAAAGCATGATAAGATCCCAATACACACGGAGTACAGCACTGTGCTAGTTTTTGTGCTCTCTCTCCAATACTGGTCTCTGTGCACTCTGTGCAAACGCTGTGTAATTTCACAAAGAGTTTTGATAAACGAAAAGCCAGAATCCCCTCAAAAGTTCCTATTGGATGGAGAAATAAAATAAAAAAAACATTTTGGACATCTGTTTTTTCTTTCTAGGTGTCATTGTATGATCCTGGAATATGCCGATGAAAGTTCAGTCGCTGCGGTTTACCAACAGTCATACTAAAAGGCTCTTTTAAGAGGAACATAATAATATTTTGTCTGTGAGTCTTATTAAAGTGTCTGTCTGTGCTTGCTGCTGCACGCGAGAGCCGTGTTGGGGGCTGCTTCCGAGTGGCCAGGCTCTGATGTCGTCTGTCCCTCCATCTGCAGAAGGTACTGCAAGAGGAGCTCGGTGCCGACTGGCGGGACAGGTTGGCGTCCTTCGAGGAGAAGCCCTTTGCTGCCGCCTCCATCGGTCAGGTGCACCTCGGGGTGCTGAAGGACGGCAGGGAGGTGGCCATGAAAATCCAGGTGAGAGCGGGGAAGGAACAGTATCCTACTGCATAGAAACTCTCAGGGTATGAAAAGGGCCCTGCTCTTACTGGCCTTGTATCCGTGAATACCAGAGGGGTCCCAGGTTTGGTCTTAATTCAGACCTGTGGTAACCATGTTAAAGTAAAGTGCTTACTCGATCCTAGAGGCTCTGCATGCTAGAGCTTATCCCAGTGTTTGCAAGCGGTGCCAAGTCTGGCCATCACAGCGTTTTTACCCCCCTCATTGGTACCGATACCAGTTGGCACAGCTTGGCAAACTGCAACAGCTGGGAGTGGAGCACCTTAGTTGAGCCCACAGCCTTTGAGCTGTGAGTCCAGAGCCCTGACCACAGCTCCGCTCTGTCCCGACGTGAGGTCATTGATGTCCTGACTGAGTGGCACTGCCACCTCTGGTTTTGTCTCCTGCGTAGTATCCTGGAATAGCGCAGAGCATTCGCAGCGACGTCAACAACCTGCTGTCCGTGTTGAAGATGAGCGTGGCTCTGCCTCAAGGTGATGTGCATTTATGTTGGTTTTTTAAAAAAAAAATGGGAACCTCCAATTCCCTTAAAGACTGCGCTTCTGTACTTACCGAGGAGAGAGAGAGAACGCTACACACGTGATCCCAGAACACGCCCGTTTGTTAGAGACATTTGCCTTCTGATGCGCTGCACGTGCCACATGCCTTGACGCACCGGAGAGCGAGTCTGTTGCTGGCACTGCTGGGATCACTGGAAGCCTGCAGGTGTCCTGGCCAGTTACAGGAATTGCTGCCTTAGCAAACGTTGAGAAGACTGTGGTCCGCTTACCCCTGGAGTCACAGCATGGGGCTGGCGGGGTACATGTCAGTACAAGTCAGCCACTGCCATGACTCGGGCTCGACTCAAGTGAGAGCCTTTACTTGGGGGAGTCCCTTTGGCTCTGTTTGTTTTTTGTTGTTTATGGTACTAGGTGCAATGTGTGGTCTGTGGGGTCTGCCAGATTTTCTGTTTTGTGCTGTGAGCTGTCCGACCGAGCTAATATTTTTTAATTTGCGCCTTTGGATTGTTTTCCGCTTCTTAACTGTTCATTTTTCCATGATTGGGAGTGTATTGTCAAACTAACTAGGCTGAAAGTGCGGAAGCATCCTGTGGAAGGCAGGCCTCTATAATTTTATAGACCCACGTGTCTTACAGCAGGTGGAGCAGCGATTTGCAAGCAGTGCTTCACCCGTCGTTCATTCTGAGCACTTGGTCAGAGGTGTTTAATCCTGATCTTGGGGAGCTGCTCCGTCTTCAGATCTTCTAAGTTTCTTTAAATGCCAAAGGCCTGGAGAAGTTGTTGAATTGGACCAAATGAGCCACGAATGAGCTTTTTTAGGTCATTAAAATCTGCAGACACATCGGCCCTCCAGGACCTGATCTGCACTCCCCTCTTTGGCCACAGCAGTCCAGTCTCCGGAGACCAGCTGGAGACCAGGGTGCTTGGAGTTGTTCTTCCTCGTTGTTGTAAGTCTGCCTCATGTTGTCAATTTGTCCCCTCAGGCTTGTTTGCGGAAAGCAGCATCGAGGTCCTTCAGAGGGAGCTGGAGTGGGAGTGCGATTACAGGAGGGAGGCCAAGTGTGCCAAACGCTTCAGGTACTGGGCAGTGCTGCACCCCCGGACAGGCACAGCCCATGCTGTCATGCTGTCATGCAGTCATGCTGTGTGCTTTAGACCTACGGCAAGCCGACAGGGTCCTAAATTGTGCTGCTTCACGTGTAACAGTTTCTCTTTTACACATAACCATCTTAGTCATTTGTAATATAATTCATAAATATGCATTACATTTGTCTTTTTTGGCTTGTGATGTGTTCGTCCGGTCAGTTTTTGAGTTAAGTTCCGTGTGTGCGGTAATGGCAGTAAGCTCATCACTAGCTTTAAGGAGTTAAAGCAGTTGACTCGGCTAATCAAGTCACCCGCATTTGTAACATTTTAACATCGTCAGACCCAAAGGTGTGATCATGCCGAATGTTTCTGCTAGGCCAGGGAAGCCGGGGATCTGTTATTGATGCGTGTAAAAAAAATATTGCTTTCGAGCGATTAGCTTGATATTATTTTTGTGCCGTTTTTACAGCAAACAGTTTCGTGCGTCCTGGGAAAAATATTGCACTTGAAGAACTTTTTTTTTTTTTTCGTGGAAAGTCCCTCATCATTTCCATTTAAAAATCATGATTTTGGTTTAACTGCTCATCATTTGTTTCCGAATGTCTTTTAAACGTATGGACACATGGCGCTGAAACGTTGTTGTTGTAGACCTGTGGTGCACTGTCGTTCTTGCAGCTGTGCCCGTATGGTGCAGGACGACTGTGCACAGACTGCTGATGTGCTGGAGTCTTGATGCAGAGATCCGCTGTGCACTGCAAATCTGGGTTCCTTGTGTCGGTTGTTGTCGGCGTGTGGCGATGTCCTCCAGACTGACGAGCTTTGTTCTGCCGTGATGTCAGGGAGCTTCTAGATGGAGACCCCTTCTTCACAGTGCCGGCAGTGGTGGACGATCTGTCCACCGAGAGAGTCTTGTGCATGGAGCTGGTGTCAGGGGTGCCGCTGGATCGCTGCATAGACCTGGAACAGGAGACCCGCAACCAGGTATGACCCCCCCCAGCTGTAGTCCAGCACATCTTCAGGTCTCTTTAGGTCTCCAGTTCCAGTTAAACTGCTGCACTTCAGTTAATAATTAGATCCCTTTGGCAGTTAACAGATTATCCTCTTAAAAGAGGATGGAAACTGTTGTCCTCCAAGATTGATTTGGTCTTAGTCCTGGGGTTCTTGCCAAACGTCATATAGTGTATTGTTGGGGCTATTTGAAGATGTAAGCCTGCTTGTTCTGGATTGTCCTAAAAATTTCAGCCAGTATGTCTGCAGGAGATGAACCGCCTTACTGAACCTTTGTTGATTTTAATTTTCCCTCTTTTCCGGCCTGTGCAGAGTTCATATCGGGTCTGCCTTGATTAAATCTGGGACTTGGTGGCAGCTGGTCACAGCGCCATTGATTTGGTGACTAGCTGCTGGCTTCTGTAACGCACAGAAATGCGAGGAGGCCAAGTGAGGTTACTCGAAAAGGCTACGCCATTATCTCCAAGCGGACATCTTGAATTTGTGCTGGATGAATTAGCATCCTGTGGGCGGATTGGTTTTATTGAATTTCGGTTAGATCTGTCAGGGCATTGCAACGCATCTCTGTCCGCTGTTCCACTTGCTGTTGCAGGTGTCCCTAGAACGTCACCAGGTCTAGTCATCTCATTGGGGTTGGAGTGCTAATGGGGTTAAAGTGCAGGTGACAGGACGATGAAAAGCATTGAGTCAACTGGTTACAGTGTACATCCAAGCCCAACAGTCCGATCACTGATCATGAAAGAGTCAGACTGATCTGGCTTGGAGGTGCAGATATCAGCTCAAGTTGGGAAATAAAAGTAGACGACTTGAGAGACCTCTGTTTCAGAAGTCATTTTTTTCTCCTGATCAGATGCAGGATAGATAATAGGAAGTGAGTTTTTTTTTCTTCTTCCAGACAGTTAAAAATCATTGACTACAAGGGTGAAAAATTCAGGTTCTAATTGTGAAGTTTTTAACGCAGGACATGTAAAAATTCCCAATGTTGCTTCTTTGTGGTGTCGTTTTTTCACTCTGCAAAATTTGCCTTCTGCCAATTTTAGTTTATTTTTTCCCCCCCAAGATCTGTTCCAACATTCTGCACCTGTGTCTCCGGGAACTGTTTGAGTTTCGCTTCATGCAAACTGACCCCAACTGGTCCAACTTCTTCTACGATGCAGAGCAGAACAAGGTTAGTCCTTGACTGTTCTGTTCTCCCAAGTCTGCACCTTCCGCCATGCATTGCATAACACCCTAGTGATTTCTGCTTTCTGTGCAAAAGCTGACCCCAGAGGTCAGAGGCCAAGGGTTAGAGTTCAGCATGTGACCTGTGATGTTTGGTGACTTGACGGGTCCAGATTACTCTCTCAGATTACAAATGCAGTAACGCATTGCTCACAAATAGATTCTTGCTTCTGCTCAGAGGAGACCTGGTATGAGGTTTGGTCATTTTGAAAGACTGAGCAGGTTCAGATGTTGATTCAGTCTGGGCCTAGACCATGAGCGATCCAAGTGTAGTGAGATGTAAGTCACCCTGTATGGTATTCAGTGATATTCAGTGTTCAATCAAGGTGACGTTTCACTGGTCACATTTTCAACACTTAAATTCCAACCAGGCATGATAACAACCGGAAGCATCTTACAGCATGAAATGCAAATGAAGAGGGGCAGAATCTTAATGTATAGGAAGAAGAAGAGATAAAAATACCTTTTGAAACTGGTCATGTAGCACCTAAACAATCTTTACTGTTGGTATTGACCCACATGTAGCAACATCCCTTGCAGAACGTCAGTGCAAGCTGTTGAAACCATTATTTCACATTATATACTATTATATGCATACCCTTATGAAGGAATGCACAAGGGCCACTTTCTCTGAGTAGCACCAAACGTTTCTCTCTTAGCAGGGGGCTGGACCCATGGTGTGATTAGGATGACCTCTGAAACGTTTGGGAAAGTAGTCGGTTTCACTTAAAATTTGGTCTTCTGACCTCTTTTTATGAAAGGCCAGTACTTCACAGACCCTTTTGGTCTTTATTCCATTGCTATCAAATACTTACGCCTCGCTGATCCTTGCTGTTTCATTCCGGTGGTTTTTCCAGGTCTCCCTCTTAGATTTTGGAGCATGCCGGGATTATAGCCAGGAATTCACCGACGACTACATCGAGGTAGGTGTACCCATCATGAAACCAACAGCTGGGCAGGAACAAGTTGGACCAGCGCTTGAGATGATAAGATAGAGAAGATCACTTTATTGGCCAAATACAGTTTCTTGCATTAGGAATTAGTCTTTTCGCAGACCCCAGCTTGCTCTCCATGAGACACACAGACAGGGAGAGAGAAGCTTGGGGTCAGAGAGCAGGGTCAGCCATTGTACAGCGCCCCTGGAGCAGTTGGGGTTAAGGGCCTTGCTCAGGGGCCCAATGGAGTAGGATTCCTCTGCCGGCCATGGGATACTTCTCTGGATAAAGGATAAAGGACTTCTCTGGTCAGCGGGTTCCCATTTTAACACCTGACTTCTAAAGTGACTTATTGTTAGTGAGATATTGAATTTGCTGGTATTCTAATGAAATGTAAAACCTAAATTCCTGTAATGAACTGTAGCAGATAAAGGAAATGAGGATTGGAGCTGAATAGAAGTATGCAGTCAGCTTACGTAAAACAGTGAGACAGTCGGAGTGGATTTCATTCCTTCTCTGTAAGACGCCAAATCTTGTAAGAGGTTCACTATTTTAATCTAGTGGAGGAAGTTTTAGCAGAGCCTCAGAGAGTATTATTCTCTTTATTTCTTTTGCAGATGCGGTCTGATTATTAACAGGAGTAGCTGAGCCAGAGTGAAAAGCACATGTTGTAGAAATAACGTGTATCAGAAGAAGTAGTCAGATACAAGTGTGTTATGCTGTTGAAGTCTCTGTACTTCCGATGGATCCCTGTAGCTTCTAGAGTGACTTTTTTTTTTGTGGTACTGCAACAAGACCTAAGATTCCAGGATTTTCGGGGCTCTGTGAAGTGGGGGTACCAGGTGGACTCCTGGGGACCTGCAGGCATTTGGGAGCTGTGAAACATGTCCCCTCTGAGCCCTGTCCCTTTCTCTTACAAGGTGGTGCATGCTGCCTCTGTAGGGGACAGGCAGAGGGTCCTCCAAAAATCCAAGGACTTGAAATTCCTCACTGGCTTTGAAACCAAGGTGGGTGGCTTTTTCCTTCCTCCTCCTCCTCCTCCCTGGGACAGATCCAGCCAGTCTCCTGTTGTACAACCCGGTCAGGAAAACTGAGCAGGCATTGGAGACTCCTCTTGGCTGTTTGTACCGCACTCGCCCGTTACCCTTGCGGGGCAGTGCCCCCGCAGTGGGTCTCAGACCGCTTGTTGTCCTCCCCAGGCCATGCAGGAGGCCCACGTGGACGCGGTGATGATTCTGGGGGAAGCCTTCGCCTCCCCAGAGCCCTTCGACTTCAGCACCCAGAGCACCACGCAGCGCATCCAGAGCCTGGTCCCCGTGATGCTGCGGCACCGGCTGACGCCCCCGCCGGAGGAGACCTACTCCCTGCACCGCAAGATGGCGGGCTCCTTCCTGATGTGCTCAAAGCTGGGCGCCGTCATCCCCTGCTGGGAGATGTTTCGCTCCATCTACAGCGCGTACGCTGCAGGCCGGAGGTCAAGGTCCTAGAGGGACCGGGGGCTTGTAATCCCTCCTGCGCCTGGAACCGGACCTTCGGACCTTAGTGATCCAGCTGGGGGTGGGGAGTGTGGGGGCGATGGATGGGCTCGGGTATCAAGCTCTCGGAAGAAGGACACACAATGGCAGGCAACGCCTGCTCAAAAGATGCCAGGCTGGGGCTTGGATCCTGGAGGCTGCTGGTTCAAGTTGTGTGTGAAACTCCAGGTCTGTGTGGAGTGGGCTCTGTCTGGAGGTATTTTAGTGGATCTGAGGTCTGCCGCACACTAGTACCCTCTTGCTGGTGTACGAGCCCAGGATGCCAAGAGTAACTCTGATGTGACTCTGTCCTCTGCCGTTTGCCCCAAAGCATGCTGCTTGTGCACCAGGGTTCAGTACGGCAAAGACAAGGAGTTGTCCAGTTTGCTGTAGTCCACATCTCTGACCTCTGTCTAAAACTGCTGATTGTTTCCGTGGAATTTATTGTAACAGTGCCGTAATATTTCTGCTGTATTTGTTACCATGCTTTTAAAGATGTAGCAGCATTTTCTACGTCCCACTTGGCTCTGTACTTAAAACTGGCAATTGCTTTCTCTTTTCAGGTCCATTGTTAGCCTTGACCTGACATTTCTGGTCCAAAGATCACCTTTTTGCTGAATTTTAAACATTCTTAGCCAAGTTTCTGAATGATCTTCATTCCCTGTTTTCAAGGGGTGCTGGACAGGGTGAATTCAGCTGTGAGCACTTCTTGATTTTTGCCAGAAATCTGGTGAAGAAGGAGGTTGAGGTTAGCCCTCTGACTTCTAATCAGCCACATGAAGTAATTTTTTCAGGATACCCAGAACTCTGGTGCCGTGCTGGAAAACATTTCATGTTGTGTAGCCCGATGTCATTCTTCGGTGAGAACGCCCCAGTGCATTGAAGTCTCACTCGCTACACATGGAATAAATATCTTAATAATGAAGCTGGCTGCTCTCACCTTGGCCTTGGCTGTTATTCTGATTGTTTTTTTTCAATGGATTTCATCGGTTGCTATATCTGCTCATTCCCTAAATACTTGTCCTTCTTGCTTTCAAGGTAGCAAGAAGGACAAGTATGAAGGTATTATCGGATGTTATCGGCTGCACAGACAGCCCCTGTCTGGTCCCATTTGGTTGGCAGGAGATGGGTGTTGTGCCTTGTTGCTGTGGAGAGTGTACTGTCGTGCTGTGTACGGTGCACTTTCTGCTAGCCACCTTTGCAGGAAGGAGGCTTTTGGCAGCAGATGGATTGAGTTTGCCAGTTTTTACAGACCATTCGGAACACATCAGAAACACTGGTGATTTTACAGTATTGTTTTTTTTTTGCAGTTTTAGAGGAGAATAAATACTAGACGCACAGAAGAAGATGCAAGAAGGGTTATTAGATTATTTATAGAAAGTTGATATTCCCAGTGTGCAGTGGAGACAAAGAAGGGGGGTGGGGGTACAAGGGCATTTGAAAAGTGGGGTGTGGGATAGTGACTGCACCTGTACTGGCCCTGCTGGGATCAGGTGCCATAGACTGTACACAACAGCAGTTTTCTCTCCTGAATAGCCAGGCAGCTTCAGCAGTGGACTTGCTCAGCAAGAGATTTATTTTTCAGTTCAACGTGACAGTTTTGCACTTGCTGGAGTACTGAACTCCCAGCTCTTAAGAGAGACGGACATGGCGTTTGAAGTCTCTACTAAATCAGAAAAATGCAGGAGGCAATAATGAGACCCTGTAATTGCAAGTATTGACCACCTGTGACTGGTGTTTCAAAGAGTTGTTTTTGCTTTGCCTTACAACATGCACTGAAGACATATTTACTGTATTGTTCATTTTGTATAGGTTTCTTGGAAAAAGGAGTATATAACTAAGAAATAACAGAAGGGTCTGGTTTTTCAACTTTTAATACATTTTTACTTATTTTATTTAGTTCAACGCAGCATAATCAGTCACTTTTGCTATTCTGTATATTAATATCATCTGTATTTTTGCCTATTGTTGTCCTGATTTTAGAGGCAACTTCAAAAACCACTTCTGGTCCAGCCTGGGGCCGGATTGAAAACCGCATACGGACTCTGGTAGGTGTGGAGTGGTGTTGAGGCCCGCTCAGCCTTCTCGGTGACAGAGGGGAGGCGAGCCGAAATTGATCTCGGTGCTCCTAAGCCTAGAAAGCACAGAGACTGTAGGAGTCTGGAATCAGCCCTCTGGCTTTGACAGCGGAACCCACAGAATCCTGGAAGACATGCTGGAATTCTTTGATGTTTAAGGTTCAAGCTGCCTATCGAGCCCAATGGGCAGAGCAGTGTCCTCTGGTTCGCAACCTGAAATCTTAGGTCAGATTGTTAATTGGGCGTAAATAACTGGCTGTTTTCTCACTTTGATTTGATGTTTAATGTGATGCAGTGGCGTACTGGTCCGTGAAGATGGAGGCCATTAATAACTGTGCAAGGGGGCACACGGTCAGTAACGCTCTCACCCTGTGGCACAGTGCAGAGAAACGGGGTGGTCATGAGTCATTTACCCCACGGGAAACTTTCAAATGCTGCAGCTTGAGTCCCGTGCTTGACAATCTGTCCTGCCGTTGATCCTGAGAGCGGGGATTTAGCTCTGGGGTTTGCCAGTTTGAGTCCTGCTGGGAGTCCCTGGCACCTGTGATTTCTGGGAAGCGCTGTGGGGTGGTGCCACACTGGCCCACGCCAGTTATACAGTAGTCCAGTCCTTCACCGAGACTCTCCACTTCCTGGGCCCGTTCTGTGCCTTGGGGCTGCTGGTTGTGCAGCTGACAAGGGCCCACTGGTCTCCTTGCTGAGCCCTTCCGGAGGTCTGGGTGAGGGGTGTCAGTGAAGTCATTCTTAAGATCTTTTGGGAAGGAGAATTACCCTTTGGGGTTGGGTGCACATGGGGGTTCCCATGCATGTGTGCCTTTGTCAGTCGGGTCAGTCGCCTGCCTGGCTGCCTGTGCTCGGAGAGGGTGATGGCTGACAGGCGTGTGGTTTAGAGGAGAAGCTCTGTGTGGGAGGCGCTGGGGGACGTCGGAGACGGAGGATATGAGTGGTCTCCAGTTGTAGTCATCTCTGCTCCAGCAGTGGGTCATTTTTTGGACAGCGTGGCATTGTTTTGCTGGGTGTGATAGTGTTGAGGGACAAACTCGAAGAAAATCGAGGACAGGTTTGCACGTTCTTCACGGTCATCGTATGAAGGAAAAAAACACGCACTGGAGGGCGCCCTGCCAGCCGCAGAAGGAACGCTGTGTGTTTTTAGTCTTTAAACCACTATAGCGTTATAGATGCAGTACTGCTCCTACGATGTTTTCTTTGACCCTAGCGTACTGACGACCTGTTCTGTCGTCGACCCCAGTGCCTTCCCCCAGACAGGTCCGCTGTACACCCTCACAGCCCGTCTCTCAGATCGCGTTTAAAAGGCCCAGCCCTTCCCCGGGCCGGCCGGCCGGACTCCCGAGCTGATACGGGCTGAGCTCCGGCGTTCGCGTTTCTCGCCCCTGCGGCGCTTTGGAGGGAGTAAACGCGTTAACAGTTGAATCGGGACGCGTTTCTATTGCACGCTGGCTGTTAGGGGAAAGCGAGGGGTATCATGAGGCACAGGATATTTCCGCGACTTCAAGAGAAGTGCATTCGTCGTGCTCACTGGATACGTTGCATCTCGTCCTCTGCTTGAAACTTTTCTCACGTGAGCCAGGCACAAATATGAAAATTTAGCAGGTACAGCGCAGAGTCGGATGAAGTGTAAGTCTTTTCGAGGCAAAACAAAGCCCGAGGAGAAACCAATTTAGAGCTTGGTACAATTATTGTACACTGTCTAGCTAACAAGCCATTGAAAAGTATAATAGTAGGGAAATGTTTCGCACTGTAAAGCATTGAGAATCCAGAGAAATAACCATATTTCGGGGGAGGGGGGAACTCTGACGTTTCTCCAGGTTAGTCTCCGCTCTCGAAAGGCAGCTGTCATTTTGAGTCCGGGGGGGAAGCCTGGACACACGCTTTGCACTTGACGTCCACGGCCACCACGGAGACGGGTTCCGTCCACACACGGGTTAACGCCCCCCACCCCCCCCGGGCACCTCCGGGGCGCATTCAGCATCAATGGGGCTCGATTTGCATGTCGCGGCGGTCTGTGCCAATGGGCTCGCGCTGAGGCTGGGCTCGCGGGTGGAGCCCAGAGTGGAACAAAATCTGGACGCCAGAGACTGGGCAGACAACAACAAAAGCGCCACGGATTGCTGTAGAGTCGCCGAGGTTTTTTTTTTCCCCCCTCTCTCCTCCCTTCATTACTTGGCGTGCTAAAATAGGCGACCCGCTTCAGGACTGGTTATTAATTATTGTCTGCTACTTTTCTTTCTTCCTCCCTCCCCTCCCCACCTCCCCCCTCGCCAAAAGCAGTAACATCCATTTTGCCCAATTTACGCCGTTTTGGGATTGCAAACAACAAAAAAAAAAGGCGCTACGGACCTCGGACAGCTGCTGGTTTTTGACGGTGAGTTGATATTTTGTTCAAGAGATTGCATTGGATTTTGGGGTTACGCGTTGTTTTGTGAGAGGAGGTAATCGGGGGTGGGCAACAACATTTTTCTTCGCATTTGCGGAGACTGTCTTTGCCGTATCGGATCGGGTTGGAATGAATTGGTTCCCGAGATAAGATTGTGCGAAGCGTCTGAGAAATACTGTGTTTTTACCAGGCGTGTTCATGGACTGGTGTGAGATGGGGTCGGGAGAGGAGGATGTCTCCGTAACTCGTGTAGCGCCGGATCTCGGTTGGTTGAGCGGAGAACAGCGGCCATATGGAGACAAACTGTACAACATTTGTACGTGTGCACAATTAAATTGCTGCCACCGAGAAGCGGTGGAAAAAAAATGGAACAGAAATGTGTCTTGGAAGCTTTTCGTGTTTAAAATGACTATATATATATTAACCCTCATCTTTCCAGAAATAAACAAATGTTTTTTTTAAAACATTGGGGATTAAAGATTGTAACTTATCAATGTATCCCTTACCAAGGTTTCTGAAGTTCTTTGATCCGTCATGTTCTCTGTTCTGATCCAATAAAAGAGCCTTTCTACGTACGCAAATACCCCCCC